TTCGTAAATCTTAGTAATCTTTTACAAAAATCTTCTCCTCTAAAACTACTGGGCCAAGTTAATTATAGATAGAGATAATTGTAAGCAGGAAAAATGTTCAGTAAATTAAGATGTACAAACACATCACCATCACCAAAACACAATTTTATCATGAATCCATCTGCGTCCTTTGTTTAATATTCACATAGACCAAGGTGAGCGACACAGGCTCTTTAGAGCCTCTAGTTTGGATTACCTCCCTTACACTGCTTTAAAATTGTCCATTAACCAGGAAACCCTTGTTTTTTTCCCTTTTTTGCCCCTAATTCCTAAACGGTTTGAGCCATACCCCCCCCCCCCCCCCCCCCCCCCACACACACAACCATCCCTTTGTGGTATGGAAACTTGTGGTATAATTTCAGTAATTTCAGAGAGATCCATTCACTTAAACACAAGTTATTGTCTGAAAGTTACAAAAATGCTTATTTTTGACGCCTAATTCCTTAACTGTTGGTACCATAACCCCCATAATCAATCCCAACCTTCCTTTTGTGTCTTCGGACGACGACGACGACGCCAACATCATACCAATATACGACTGCAAAAAATTTTTGCGGTCGTATAAAATGGTCAAGTCTTGAACTGATTAAGGCAATGAAGTTTAATAAACATTTCAGCTATATTGGCTTATTTGTATAGGTATATCTGACTTGTCAATTTTGCAGGAACAGTTTCTCTGTATTAGTGTTCAAGATAATAGCAAACACATAAAAATGGTTGAAGGGACAGTAGCTGTCAAATTCATGTTCAGAGATTTGACTCAAATTTTCATATTTTATTATATATCCAAATTACAAAAAGTCTCAAATAAACAATTTACAAAGCACGGACTCGATAATATCTGGGACATAATATATTGGTGTAATAGTCACAGAAAATATATATATCAGTATTTCGTGTGTATTTAAGTCTAGACACCATCTAATTTACCATCAAGATGACCGACGGTAATGCATATAACCCGATATAAACATAAATATGGAAATAAATAGATAGCGAGCACGTGTAATGGATTTTACTAGGTCTGTTTGATTTCATGTTATAGGTTAAAAAATATGTTAATCATCGTTTTTACCGCTGAACACGCCTAGTACATGCGTTAACTACCCATCTCCAGCTAAGGGCACATGAATACGGATTCACATGAGGTTAAATTATTGAATTATAATACATCAGCGATGTTTTTTAGCTTATTTTGACAACTTTGGCCCAAACTGACTGCTTATAACGAAATTATTTCAAAATTCTGTTTTTATTTATACTTGAAACTAAAAGAAAATATTTTTTGTCTCAATTGTAGCTAATGTCCCATTACAAAAATATAGCTTCCTTTAGCAATCGATGAACAATTGAAGAAATGTACTTATCTATTGATCTAATATAGCCCAGGTTATCATTTTTGATGTTTATAGTTTCTCTCCGACAATAAATGCTTTCAAGAAAATAAACCAAAACTGAAAATGGGTGAAAATTGTCATTGAATGGCAAGTTGAGACGTTTGTAGAATTCGTTTAAGTTTGATCATATTTGCTGATAATTTTTTGCTGCTTATACGGTTCTCTCTGTTTACTATAGTTTTGGAAAGAAAGAAATAAACACACAAAAGGGTTAAAAATGTTATTGAAGTGTAATTGCTTTTATAAGGAGCTGACTGACGATCTCTCCATCTTCTCTGTCATGTTCACTTATTCATGAATGGATCTGGTCTATATATACATTTTGTACATGATAGTGTTCTTTTCTCTCAAGAAAATATTTTTAAAAATGCAAAAAAATAAAAAAAATAAAAAAATAAATACCATCATTAAAAGATAAGAACTCTTGAAGGGAATGGACAGCCGATTTTGGCCATCGTTACTGCTTTGTAGATATTGTTTTGCTTATCAGTTACGTTGTTTTACAGTTTGTCTCTATTGACTATAGTTTTCGCAACAACAACAAAATAATGCTATGAAAGGGTAAAATTATCATTGAAACGCAATAATTGCTATAACGAGTTGGCTGCTGATTTAAACCATGTCGACTCATATGCCGAGTTGCGACACTATTTGGAGACATCAAGAATATCTTAACCAAATTTGCCATGTTAATGCCCAATGGATTGAGGAAGACCAATAATGATTTGAGCTTCAGTATATTAAAGGTCAAGGCCACAGTAGCTATTGATCGGCTGAAATTTTGAGAAAGTTTTGGTCTGTGAATGTTATCTTTTGACCATATATCAAAATTTTCCCAACTTGTTTTATAATATCCCACAGACCCCTACCGATTTTGAGGTAACTAGGTCAATGGATTACATAGACCTCAATCCAGTTTGCATTACAATATCCTTAAATGGACAAATATATAAAAATGTCGGTACTTAATATGACGTATAGGGTTATTGTCGTATTATCAAACTGAATTACAAAAGAATTCACAACAGGAAAGATTGACTCGCTTATTAAAACTTTTCAGCTAATACACAAAATTCATATTTGCTGATTTTATAATGATTCGTTCCAGTAAAAACTTGGATTCAAGCTGTCCATAACCATTACGGTGTTACCAAAAATCTATAACTATCTATTAATGTTATATACAACGAACTAAAATGTATTAACTGGCTCTTTGCCGATATATAAAGCAACAACGAACAATCATATATACAAATATAATATAATCTAAATTATAGATCTTGGTTTGCTGATCATATTTACTAGTGTTGCAATTTCTCTCTACTTTTATGCCCCATTTATGGGCATTATGTTTTTCGGTCTGTGCGTCCATTCGTCCGTCCGTCCGTCTGTCCCGCTTCAGGTTAAAGTTTTTCAGTTTAAAGTTTTTGATGAAGTTGAAGTCCAATCAACTTGAAACTTAGTACACATGTTCCCTATGATATGATCTTTCTAACTTTGATGGCAACAGCAAACATTGGACCTTTAGGTCAACGACTAAAAGACAGAAAATAGCGACCCAATGTTTCTACCTCGAAGATTTGCCTGTGTCGCTCACCTAGGTGTATGTGCATATTCAAAAATGGACACTCTCAAACATTGTGGACTAGAATAAAATGTTATAATAAAAGTTTAAGTGGAGATAGATTTCCACTTAACTAAATAATATTATTGTCAACCAATTTACAGTTAAGTTCATGCACGCAAATAACAATAAAGCCTGGAAGGACCAAGAGCAAAAATATTTTCCGGAAATCTTAATAGAAATACATTGTATAAATATAACAAATGTACCAATGGTATGACTGAGTATATATCACCGTTGTTTCCATTATCTACCACATGGTACCAATGGTATGACTGAGTATATATCACCGTTGTTTCCATTATCTACCACATGGTACCAATGGTATGACTGAGTATATATCACCGTTGTTTCCATTATCTACCACATGGTACCAATGGTATGACTGAGTATATATCACCTTTGTTTCCATTATCTACCACATGGTACCAATGGTATGACTGAGTATATATCACCGTTGTTTCCATTATCTACCACATGGTACCAATGGTATGACTGAGTATATATCACCTTTGTTTCCATTATCTACCACATGGTACCAATGGTATGACTGAGTATATATCACCTTTGTTTCCATTATCTACCACATGGTACCAATGGTATGACTGAGTATATATCACCGTTGTTTCCATTATCTACCACATGGTACCAATGGTATGACGGAGTATATATCACCGTTGTTTCCATTATCTACCACATGGTACCTCTATACTATTAACAACACCAAATGTGACGAAAAAAGAACAAATGGAGAGCAGTAGTCACCCTTAGTTTCCATTGAAACCATTGTCTGCTGTACCAAATAGAAGCGGTACAAGTGTCATCGACAATACGTTCTATTGGTTCTATTGTCTTTTGACTGGATCTTTGGTACCTCTAAACTGTGAACAACATGGTGTCACCAAGTGTCAAAGAAAAGAACAAATAGGAAGCATTCATCATCATTAGCGTCAATTGGTTCCATTGTCTACTCATTATACCATGCAATGGTACCTATAAATATGAACAACGTTTTTGTATAAATCATTAACAAAATAACAAATGACTTTCTAACAACATGCATACTTACAAATGGTATCAATCTACTAATCGTACACGTGGTGCCCCCAAACTGCAGACAACGTTATAGTTCAGTGCATGGTGACGAAAACAAATTGACTTGATAGGTGTCATGCGTTATCATTGGTACAATTTTTTCCATTATTTAATATCAAATATCATTACAAAATGCTCATACTTACAGATTAAAAGATAACAGAGTACATGTAATACTTATTAACGTAAAAATCTTTATTAACAGCTTTACTTTCCACCACGTTTAAATGAATTTTTAAAGTTAAAACAGGAAGAGGGATAAGGAGGAGTACACATATATATGAGGGTGTGGATACAGGGGCGGATCCAGCCATTTTTAAAAGGGGGGTTCCCAACCCAGGATAAAGGGGGGGGGGGGGGTTCCAACTATACGTCCCCATTCAAATGCATTGATCGTCAAAAAAAAAGGGGGGGGTTCCAACCCACTGAACCACCCCCCCCCCCCCCTCCCTGGATCCGCCACTGGGATAGGGGTTTACAGAATAGAGACAAAAAAATAAAGAATAGAGAATAATGAGGTGCTGAAATATAAAGAAAAGAGAACAATGGACAAAAAGTATAAAGAATAGAGAAAAATGGCCTAAAAAATTAAAGAATACAGAAATGAAGGACCCCACATCCAGACCCTCATATATCAAGTTCTATTTATAAATATAATGTTGTCAATACTCTTACTTTATAACGTACCAAGTGGTTTTTTTTTATGTCGAAATATGATAGCGTGCCGAAACTAGGTAATAGTACTTGTACATCTGTATTTAAATTATTTGAATACAATGTAAAAGCATTTCACAGCGGCTAAATACCACTGTGGTCTAATCAAATATGCCGCTAGTTTACAGTTTTGTCACGTGATAAGTATATCGATCGATGTTAAAAATGGTTGAACCTTGATTTATACTTCCTTGTGATACTTCACGGAAATTCTAAAAATGTTTGTATATCTATTTTATATGATCTTAAATTGGCATGTCCCTCAAAATTAAGTAAGCAAGAGTAATATTTTGACAGCATATCGATATCTACTGTTGCAGAATCCAAGAAAAGTGAAATAACCCAAGTGGAATGGCTACAGGAACAGGTCTTCCGGTTTTCTGCTTGAAACATAACCCTAAGTGGAGAAACAAGTTTCAGGAATTTTTAAACAAAATAAGTGGGCCAACCAGACGAAATCCATTAATATGTGAAAGTGATGTTAAAAGAATTACAAAAGTAGTGTGTCCATGCGAGAATGGCCCCAACCAAGGTAAGCGAATGGATAAAGAAAAACTATCTACTAACTGGGACTATTATACTAGTATAATAGTCCCAGCTACTAACCATTAATTAACTTTGCATGTTTCACAGATATTAAATTACCCGTCAAAATCATTGTGTCCGTTTTCCAGAATGAAATACTTGACGTACAACTGAACAGTTTTTGGTGTGTTCGAGATAAATCATTTCTGATATTGAAAATCCCCTCGTATATTTATAGACACAATCCAATAAGAGACTGTTAAAATTGGACTTTTGCAAAATGATATGTTTAATCAAGGACTTGTATAGTATATCAATCTTTGCTTAAATGCACGACTTCTGTAACATCAGTCGAAGCAATATGTTTGTGTCAGTTATGTTGTAAGATGGAAGTACTATTTACTATGTACTTATGGGGTCAATGAAGTACGTTCTAGTGTGAAATTAGCAGGTACAAGCAGACTAAATTGCCCTCTCCGTTTTTGATAGAGTGGGTGACGCATATTCGCCACAAAATTCGTTCATTTCCACCTACATCCGACCTACATTCGAATGTTTGAAACTTTTTATGTAGGTTTCAGAAAGTTTACTATTTGAAAAAAATGTTTGATAAAGGAATTCTCTTCAAAACATTGGTTAAATGTTTTAAAAATGAACGCAAACTCAAGAGGAAATCAAGTTGTTCTTGTACCATGGGGGACACATTTTCGCCGCAATGTATGATATGACCATCCTCATTATCCTTGTACATTTATAAAAACAATTGTTTGCAATTACATGAATTAGCTTGAGAGATCATTCCTATACGATTTTTCTAACAAATATTTACTTTATGACTGCGCATGCGTGACATATAAATCTTGCATAATTGCCAAAATCGTTCAAAAACACCTGCGTTTTTCTTTATATGTGCGAATAACATTGGAAATGGGATAAAGAGAAATATCAACAGTTCGAACATTACAAACAGCGTTTAGCATCAATTTAGACAAGTATTGGGTAAAGGCACACGAAATTTACAGAAAAAATAGCAAAACGGCGAAAATGTGTCCACGGCGAATATGCGCCACCCACTCTAAGTCCCCTACCAACGAAGACCGTATTGGTTTGTACTCTGTCCGCCAGTTTGTCAATGTGTCAACCTTGTAAATTTTCTAAACTTTTTTTTTAACCGAAGATGGTATTTTGGTCGACTGTCCTTTCGCAATCACTTGTCTCCATTCTAGCGCCTATATAAATTTTAAAAACGGTTTACATTCACCAAAAACCAGTACGGATGGGTTCGCTAAATCAGAAAAAATCCGAAATTTTTTCGAGAGGGGGACTTGTAAAATTATAGAAAAAGAACCTCATATCAGTTGATCGATTTGTTAAGATGTTGCAGCCCTTGGATATACAAAAAATGATTGAAATTTATCAGGTTTCACCACTTTGAGTAATGCATTGCAGAAGTTGCGGCTCTTAGCCATATGCAGTTGCTTAATTGTATTCGTTTTCGGCATGCACATTTTTTTTGTAATGCCCGTATCAACTTTGTAGAAAGTCATATAATAATTTACAGATCAAATTTCAGTTTCGTTCTAGTTTTAGCGATTTTTGCGGAAGTTGAGGTCATTGGACATAGACACTGAATTGCTTGAAATTATCTGTTTCACCTCTTTTATCTGTAAGGGAGCAACCATTTAACTTCAAGGGAGGGGTTATGGTTTTTTGTCTGAGTCAGAATTTTTTCAAAATTTAACACTATCAGGAATGGGGAAAATCTGGATTTAGAATATTTTTCTTGTCATCTGCTTGACCACAATATTTTTTTTCATCAAATTGGGGATCAGAATATTTTTTTAGGAAGAAACCTATTTATACGTAGTTTTATATTTAGTGAAAAATTACTTATGACGAATAATTTTGGCCATGGACTGTAATTGCTTTAATATATGATGCTTCAGGTGTTGGTTTTGGCCTGCAGTTGATGACAATAATCGTTTCTTTAAATAGATATTCCGACCCAATAATCTATTTGCCAATCTCTTTACTACATGAGAGATCATTTTGTACGAGTTGATTCCGTTAGGTAGGCCAGAACTTTTCATTGGCAATGATGAGCTAGTGGTAAAGAGCAAAATATGTGCAAATGTTACAGTCAGTAAATGACATTGTATTGGGTATAAAATACCCTCAGAATCTTTGTTTTTGTTATTTTATCCAATAGTTTTTATTACACATTCTACAAGTGATAAACCTTAAATTACTTTTTTATGTTTCAATAAAAGTGATATGCTTGAAAAAAAATGAAATACTATCTTCTATTTTTCTCTGTTGGTATTTCGACAACTTTCCTGGGTTATTGAAGTGTAAAATTTAAAAATGAAATGCGCTCTAGTAGTTTGAGGCATTGTCATATTCAAATGTTCTCATAATTGTGAACTCATTATTATTCGTTGGGTACCTATTTTCGTGGATTTTTTGGGTAAAGATGAAGCACGAATTTAAATGATCAACGAAAGATAAATATTTATAAGAGTGTGCGAACTGATCAAGCATCTACAAAAGTATTATTTTTCTTCAATCCACGAAATCAAATGAATCCACTTTTTATGTGGAAACGCTTAGACAAGATATACTTTAAAGAAAATACACTTTTATTAAACAAGAAAAGATGATGATGGTTATTTGCTTTACGTCCAGTGGGAAATATTTTAGGCATATTCAGAATGAAGACACATAAACAATAAATCAGATAGGTACGTTATGAAGAATGGCTCGACGTGGATAAAGGGTGTAAGAAGTAGACTGCCAATGGAAAACTGAAGAGGGTATGCTTGACCGCAGCGGAAATTTTTCCTTGCAACAGGCCATCTACGGACACCTCGAAGATTTTAAAGATTCTTTAAAATACACATTTTGACCGAAAGTGTATTTATACATCCCGAGAAAACTGATGGCGCACCTCTTTTGCAAGGCTGAGTTTTATCCGGACAAGAGAAGTCAAAGTGACCATACATTTATACCCCAGTGATGCTAGAAAAACCCCCGGGGTCTGCAAATAAAAAAAATGAATTTCAATTAAAACATCTCCTTAATTTGATAGAAACAGCAAATGTATCAATCGGAAGTAAGAATTATTTCCTGATAATTTTATGATATAAATGCCAAAAGCAGAGATGGACGCTAAGATGGTAAATATGCTTTATACAGCGAACTTCAAAATTAATGTCTTATTTTGATGGAAACATACTTGTAGCGTTGAATAATATGAACTACAAATGCAAAACTTCACTGTATTATTGTTAATTGTAGATTTCTATTGATAATTTGAATTACTTTTTCTAGCTTGGAGAAGCATTACACCAGATAAGATAATGGAATGTCATAATATATATACACATTCATCTGCTTATGAAGGTTCAATACATAAAGAATTTTATGAAAGAGTTAAGCAGTTGAATCTTTTTACTGGGAATGGAAATGGAAGTGCAGATCGGCTCATTTATATTTTATCAAACAAACTGCTTCCTGTCGGACATGAGAGGGATGATATTTTAGAAAGAATTTGCCCAATAAAACAGCGTCCACCTGGTGACCCCATTCACATTGGATCACTCAAAGAAGCGCATACTGGTCGGTTCTTTGGGAGAGGAGGGACAGGTATTAGGGAGGCAGTTCATGGAATACCAGTTGGCAACATTACAATTGACATTAGGCAAATTACAAACTCGGATATGGTGGAAGCTCGTGCAACATTTAGCTGTAGACCGCGACATATTCAGCAGGTTTTGGAAGGACTGAGACAAAGAGTTGGATACTATGTTGATAATACGCCAGTTCCTCTAAGTAAATATACATTTTTCTCCACGATTTGTAAGAGTGGTCTTCCTTTTAAACAAATGTTAGGTACATTATTTTCGGAATCTTTCTGGTCTATTATATAATATAATACTTTGCATGAAAAATGAAATTATTACAATCGACAATTAAATTTTAAATATTAAAGAAAATCGGCAAGCCTTGCGTTTTAAAATTGAAGATTCAACTGTCTCGAGTAGAGAAATATAGTATCACACTTGATGCAGCCGTAGAATCTATATTTATATAACATAAGATATATTGGACGATACTTTTCATTTATATTTTATATTGAACTCGTAAGAAGTAAACTTTGAACTTAATTTGTCTGTCCATGTAGACCGTTACTCAACAATCTTATTTTATCTATCAATAACCAATTACTAATATATAATTTAACGGAATAGAATTAACCAGAATCCTATTCAAAAGTACGTTGACAGTGATATGTGAAATAAACATTTATGACTTTTCCAAACTACTACTGCTACCAAAAGTCTATAAATTAAATTTGAATCCTGCAAAACTAAACTAGTTTTCAAGACGGAAACCTCGTCAGTTGTTTCCTTTTGTGTGACTTTGGTGATGATGCCAGGCAGATCTAAGATTCATTTACAGACATACTCTTGTGTATATAGGGAAGAAAGTAGTATTACATCTTCCCGGCTTTAGGTGGAAGGTCAACTTAGGAGCGCTGTGATTGGATGTAAGGGTACAATATATTTTTTTATTTATCTGTAAATAACTGCAGTGTGTATGTGTATTTACAATATAAATTTTGAAACCCATTGAAATATTTTCTTGAGAATTATTCGAAAAGTCTTCCAAATTTTTATAAATTTGATGTAAAATTACGGTGGGCATGGATACCATAAACAAGCTCCGTTGGAAGATGGTCATGATACTATTTGACTTCAATTTCTAAAACAGAATAACAAAGTACTAATGCCACGCATGACTGCTTTGTCCTGGTTTTTATTATAAAAAAGGCAAATTTAGAAAATGTTGGTATTGTCGCCTATGGCAGAATAAATTCTACCGTTTTTCCTATAAGTTCGAAGTTCATATCTTAATCTCTAACTTAACAAATACACCTCATAACCATCAGCATGGATTATTCATTAAAGTTGGCATTATCTTTATTAACATCTGGTTTCACGAATTATCACCAGGAAAAGTATAGGAATTAAATGTTCATTGTTTATAGGGTAGGGGACTGAAAAGGAGGAGTGTATGACTTGGGGTTCAATATATCCAGTACTTATTTGTCTAGAGTTCCCTATCTTCTCCATCAAAAATATATTAAGCGTAACTTTCAATCAGCATCTTCATAGTTGGAAATAAAAATTGTTTGCAATGACAATTACCGTCGGTATCAACATAGATGTTCACAAAAGGTTGTTTTGTGTAATGTTTTACTCTGAAGTATCAATTTTTTAATGTTCTTATGTTAATGCAAAACTTAACAAAGAAATGAAAATATCACTTTATAATTTCTTGCGTCCGTAGTGCTTTTCTTGATTTACCTTCATCTGGAACGTTAAAACCTAAATGTTTGAAAGTCACTGATGTATAAATACATATAAATGTTAGGATCTATATGATCAAACGAACAAGGGATATAAATTGTTAAATATTTTCATGGATTTCAAATAAATATTCCTTTCAAAATGACTATACAATTTCCGTACTTGTACTTATTTTTCTCCATCGAAATATGGAAGATGCAATAATTTTAATTGTGTCTTCATTTTAGTTCAGGGGGCCTAGTGGTCAAAGTAGTCGAACTACTGTATCACTAGTCTGTCAACACTGAGGTTGCGAGTTCGAATCCCGCACGGGGCAGGTGCACTCGACTCCAATCTCAATTGACTAGGATTGACAATTTTCCTACCGAAGGTCGGTGGTTCTCTCTTGGTTACTCCCAATAAAAACTGACCGCCACGAAATAGCACAATAGTGTTGAAAGTGGCGTTAAACACCAATCAATCAAATCAAGTCAAAGCAGTTCTGTAAAATATTTCCATTAAGCAAAAGTAATATCAATACCTACATTATACCAGGTCATTATATTAATTAACCAATCGATCTCGCTTTTTACCATATTCAACTTTTTTTATTGTTCTGAAAAGCAGCCTTTGTTAACTTATCATCGGATTTGTACTTACATGAACAACACGACGGGTGCCATATGTGGAGTATCTGCTTACCCTTCCAAAGGACCTGAGATCACCCCCGGATTTTGGTGGGGTTTGTGTTGTTCACTCTTTGGTTTTGTATGTTGTGCTTTGTATACTGTTTGTCGTATAATCCTTTTTAAATTTAAGCCATGGCATTGTCAGGATGTTTTCGACTTATGAGTTTGAATATTCCTTTGGTATCTTTCGCCTCGTTTTTAGTATGAGTAATGTTATCTTGTGAATGACCAATGAAGTCATCATGAGTACTTGTGAGGTATTTACCCCTGTCAACTGAATCCTTTTAAGCCTATGTTTTTATACACGAATAAGTGAGTTTTGATATATATTGGCCGAAATTTGGCTTTATTCGTATCAATGATATATTATTTCTGGTCCAATTTCAATGAATTTGCCAAAAATTGATCCCACAAATGACATGGTGCTTGCTTATTTTTGACAAATGCTCTCTTGTCACAATCATTTACAACTTCCAAAGTGAGATCATAGCATTTCATTTCTCTGACCACAGTATGCTTCTGCACTTGGACAACGTTGTTTTGGAAGCGGGCCACATTCAAGGTTACATCAAGGGCATTTCGTATCTTGTCTAAACAATGAAAATTTGATAATCCTGTTGTTTTTATACATCCTGCCTGTCTGTCTGTATGCTGGGTAATTATAACAGATTTCTTCTTACTTTTCCATTATGACTGAGCTAACCTTTGATTATTTCTTTCACACCCTGTCTCGTTATGTTTTATATCAATCCTTTTACACTGTTGTGCTACAACATTGAAAAAAAATCCACCCTGATAAAAGATTGACAACCATACCGACACATACTATAGTTTCTCTGTTATTTTAGTTGCTTCTTGTGATCTCAGAGGGAACACTCCTTGGAAAACACAAAATCGATCACACTGATATATATATATATATATGTCTTTTGTAGTTGTCACAGAGTTGACATTTTTCACTAGAATTTACATACTTTATCCATGACATGCGATTATCAACGGTTATAATTATCTATCAAGTTTTGGATTTTGGTCATGTAGACTACAAATAAGATATTCCTGTTAGATTGTGAATTGTCAAAAGTGTAAATGACAAGTAAATTAAGGTACTTCAATATTAAAAAATAACTTTGTACTAAAACATGTTTTAACAAAAATACCGAATACCAAGGTAAAATTCAAAAGGGGGAAGTCCATAAAACTGACAAAACCAAACGCTCGACTATATCAACCAACGGAAACGACTGGAAATTAACGCATATATATATCAACTTGGTACAGGCATTTTTTGAAGAAAATGGTGGCTAAACCCTGGTTTTATAGCTAGCTTAACCACTTGTATGACTTGTATGACAGCTGTTTATGGTTCCGTTATATTGACAAAATTGTGCGAGCAACCCAAACAGACATAATTGATAAATAGGTAAAGGCATCCAGATTGCACGATGGTATCAATATATACTATACCAAATGTATGCATTTACACACGAAACTATTATTCTATAATAATCCAAAATCACAAGATATGACTTTAATTCGTCTGACCATCTTGTCTGTTTTCCAACAATATCATTTTATCTGCATCAGCAAATGCCTGACCAAATGTAGAATTTTACAGAATCCGTAATGACCCCAGTAATATGAAATATACAATCTTAAATTGTTTTTCTAGACCTTTACTGCTACCAACACAAACACTTGTTGTCGACAACTAAAATTTGATCTTGAAAATTAAACTTCAACCTAAAGTAAGATAATTATTGAATTCAAATAAAAAAAAAATATAAAAATTTACTTTTTATGCCCCCGCCGTAGCGGTGGGGGCATTAAGTTTTACCCTTGTCCGTCTGTACGTACGTACGTACGTACGTCCCAAAATTGGTTTCCGTTCTCTAACTTGAGTTTGCCTCAACCAAATGTTATGAAACTTATACACAATGCTTATTACCACAAAACACAGATCAAGTTTGAATTTTGGTGGCGTCACTTTAACCGTTCTAGAGTTATGCCCCTTTATAAATGGAAAAATTGCAAAATTTTTAGTTTCCGTTCTCTAACTTAAGTTGGCCTCAACCAAATGTTATGAAACTTATACACAATGCTTATTACCACAAAACACAGATCAAGTTTGAATTTTGGTGGCGTCACTTTAACCGTTCTAGAGTTATGCCCCTTCATAAATGGAAAAATTGCAAAATTTTTATTTTCTTCTAAATATCAAGTAATTTTCAAAATTGGAGTTATCTTCCTTTGTCCATGATTATAGTTGAATCAACTACAATCAATGCTTTATACAATGCAATGTTTAATTTTGACTTCCATTGATAAAACACAGATCAAGTTGAATTTGGGTAGTGTCACTTTAACCATTATTGAGTTATGCCCCTTTATAAATCGAAAGATTGCAACATTTTTAGTTTCCATTCTGTAACTTAAGTTTGCCCTAACCAAACATTATGAAACCTATACACAATATTCATTACCACAAAACTAAGATCAAGTACAAATTTTTAGTTTCCATTCTGTAACTTTAGTTTGCCTCAACCAAATGTTATGAAACTTATACACAATGCTTATTACTACATAATACAGATTAAGTACAAAATTTGGTGGCGACACTTTTACCATTCTTGAGTTATGTCCCTTTATAAACATAAAAATTGCTGAATTTTTCGTTTCCGTTCTCTAACTTTAGTTTGTCTCAACCAAATGTTATAAAACTTATACACAACCGTTCTAAAGTTATGCGTGTTTACAAATAGAAAAAAATGCTGAATTTTTAGTTTCTGTTCTCTACTTAAGTTAGCCTCAACCAAATGTTATGAGACTTACACACAATGCTTATTACCACAAAACTCAGATCAAGTTCAAATTTGGGAAGCGTCACTTTTACCGTTCTTCAGTTATGTCCCTTTATAGCTATATGCTATGCAAGCGGGGGCATCATTTGCGTCCACATGTGGACACTATCCACATTTATTTAAATATGGTGTTATAACATTACTACATATACGAAACCACAACTCATTTAATAAAAAAAAGACATCTGTAAGTTTGCGACATAGTAATTATTCTGTATTATGTACGCATGTATATGTGTTCAATATATGTTATTTTTTTATTTTATAACAGGAGCAAGACAACAACATGGAAGAGGTGGTCATCAATGTAAGTTGACTTCTTACTTTTTTTCATTTTTCTTTTTTTTTTCGGAAAAAGTTGGGGATTTGGGGGGATTGTTGTAAGTGAATACATTGGACCTATAATTTATTTAATTTTGTTTAGATTATCAATCAATAGCAAATAATAAAGATCATTAAAAGAAAGAAAAACTGTCATAACATACATTTCACATCTTTAAATCTCGGACAGCATCAAATATTTTTTAAGATGATCAATATTTCACAGACTATCGTATGAAAAAAAAAGTCAAATCCATTTATTTCAAGCAAGCAGTACATAGAAGATCCTGATTCCCTATAATTTTTCAATATATTCAATGAACTTAAAATGTTTCGTCACACATTTCTTCTATACTACTGAACAGAAAGACTTCCTATTTGGTTTTAAGTTCAACAGTTAAGGATTGCAACAAGTACGCGCTTTTTATACGCCCGTTTACGGGACGTATTATGGTATACCATTGTCCGTCTGTCCGTCCGTCGTCAACATGTCGGACATTAACTCAAAAACGCTTTAACCAATTTGCATAAAACTTGTGTGAATTGTTTATATCTATTGACGTGAGCTCCCTTTTGTTTTTTATAAATTTTAGATTTTACGTTTCCGAGTTATGGGGTTTTATTCATTAAAAAAGGGTGATTTTCCAGTTTTCAGACAATAACTCAAGAATGCTTTCACCAACTTGCAAGAAATTGTGGTGAATTGTTTATATCTATTGACATGAGCTCCCTTTCGATTTTTATAAATTTTAGATTTTACGTTTCCGAGTTACAGGGTTTTATTCATAAAAAAAGGGGGATTTTCCAGTTTTCGTACAAAAACTCAAAAATGCTTTCAGCAGTTCTTATGAAACTTTGGTGAATTGTTTATATCTATTGATGTAAGCTCCCTTTAGAATTTTATAAATTTTACACTTTACATTTCTGAGTTATGGGGTTTTATTCATTAAAAAAGGGGGGATTTTCCAGTTTTCAGACAATAACTAAAAATGCTGTCAGCAATTCTCATGAAACTTTGGTGAATTGTTTATATCTACTGATGTAAGCTCCCTTTTGATTTTCATAAATTTCTAATATGACATTGAGAATTAATTGAACTTTATTTGTTTATAGTCTGACAACAGATTTACTAAGTATTGCGCAACAGCACATTGTATTACACAACAGCAAAAAATCTTTAATTGAATATAAATTCAATTCATATAACCAATTTCAAGTTCTTTGACTACATTTATTCAGAAACCTATAATATGTCAAATATTTAATTACAATCCAAATTCAGACCTGTATCAATCTTGAATATTGTGTCCATTTTTGCCCCAACTGTTCAGGGTTGGACCTCTGCGGGCGTATCCAGCTGCGCTCAGCGAAGCAGTTTATTTTTATCGGTTAGACACCTATTTCCTGTTTTCTGATACTTTGAATCACGAATGGGAGTATGCTTACTACGACAACGCATGCATTCTTGTTTTAATATATATGTCTATTGAATTATTCGACTGTTTAAAAGTAGTGACCAATTTGTTCATTGTGAACTGTTTCTCTGTCGCAGTTAATTATATATTGGTTCAGATAAGCGCTCATGGCTTTCTGTTGAGATTCTGTACACTGAAACATTCAGGCAGCAGTGTTTTTGCCAAAAATGTTGAATGTTTGTCTTTTATAGTAAGGAAAGTTGACAAGTCTTATTAATACAAATATAAATGTTGTTGACCATTTTTCAATTACTTGCATGTAACCTGGGGGTCAATAACCTGTGTCAACAGTCTAGCCCCAAATTCCATAAAATATATAAAAGAATTGAAATAAGCATTTTAATTTCATGAGTTATATTTAACTTTTGTAGCTATGGATATGTAGATGTCCTTCCTAAAGAAATTGAAGCTTGCAAGATAGAAAGAAAGATGATGAATATATATTGTTAAGTTTTACCTGGGAGTATTATAAAAGTTAGTATAATAGTCCCAGGTTTTACTGATAAGTTTTGAATACGAAAATTGTAAAATGGTTGAATTGATGTAAGATTTTACAATACAAAGGTTTATCTGAGTTTTTGTCATACAAGGCTGACTTAAATTATAAGGAAATGGCAGAGTATATTCGAATGCAAATTATCAATCTGTAAGGTTATTAAATATTTGAAACATGTTTATGTTCACTTTGCCCGCAGGGCCAGTATGAGCTATTGCTGCCACTTAGCATCCGTCGTCTGTAACTTTTACAAAAACTTACTAGGCCAATTGGAACCAAACTCAACCACAATCAATCCTGGTTATCTTGTGTAACAAATGTGTCCGATGATTCCGCCTGGCAGCGGACATGGAAGCCTGAGTGAAAACCAAAACATAGGAATTAAATGCAAGCATTGTCTTTTATCCTGAACCCGTTATAGATTTAGAAATTCTATCAGGGAAAAAATGTTCAGAATATCAAGCTACTACCTACTGTCCAGTATCAGCTCAATTGTCCTACGACTTCTTATAGGAGTTATTGTCCTTAAATGATATCTTTTTTAGCGATCTTTGGCTTTATCTTGAAAACTATTGTAGAGAGAAACTGTAGACAGCAAAGCGATCTTCAGGACAAGACCCCCAAAATAAGAAACATGATGGGTGAAATCGTCAGTCAGCTCCTTACAGAAGTTATTGCCCTTGAATGACAACTTGGACCAATTTTTGTGTGGTATTGTTGAAACTATAGAAGATAGTGAGAGACTGTTGAAAGCAAAAAATCATCAGAAAAATAAGATCTACTAATAAGTCAAGGCGGCCGAAATCGTCAGTTGGGTTCTCACAGAAGTCTTTGTCCGACTTTAACCAATTTCAAATACCAGGAGAGCGATAAAGGCTCTAGTTACTTGAGTGTATCAATTGGGTAATGTATTATTACTCTCATATAGTACATAAAAATATTAGAATGAAATATGGGGTAAATATACATTCCAAAATATGGGGTTAACTACCAAACGCAGAGTCGAAACTTACCATAAGTGGTATGTACCCTCAACGCTAACCCATACCATGCTTCAAGCAACACATAAAACCAAGATCGAAAATTTTTCTTAAGTCAAAATGTAGCTACGACAACAATGAAGTTACAAATCAACACTTTTGACTCTTGATTCCTGGCCTTGGACATTCACGATTAACTGCGTCATATTAACCTTTTATACTTTTCCCCCAAAAAATAGATATTTCATAAAACACAGAAGGAAATAGGCTATAAATAAAGATTAAAAAAATGTCTTGCCCCACAAAAAAAATGGATATTGAAATGTACCACCAGATAGGACAAAGTAGAATGAAACAGGCAAGCACACAGATAATTTGTGTTAATTATGACCGTAGGACCAGGAATAAAGAGTTGTGCATACAAAACGTAAAAGGGATATTAGTAATTACCAAAATTAATGATACCACGAAAATACCACTCCGAGAATTCAGATGTACAAACAAAGACAAAACAATGAATAACACATGGTAGGATGGGGTACGAACATATACATTTTGGTGTCATGTCTTTCATGAGCTTCAGAATCGGAAATTTGGTCAGAACCATATGAAAATTGAATCTGTATAATGAGAGGCACCATCAAATCTACCGTTACAATTACATAGGAATGTAGATATGTAATAGCATTGGTGAATCTGAATTGCGGACTTAAATAAAAAGTACTGAATATTGGTAAAGCAGTCATTGTGTTCCCAGTGTTACCTCAAATGGAAGCATTATATATTTATATAATATGATAGTATAAAAATGAATACAAATGTGTAAGTGCTGACACTTCTGAAATGTCTTGAGTCTTTAAGTAATTGGATTTAGTGGACAGTTTTGCCTAGCTTTAAATATCAAAGTGAGAATGTTGAGCAGGGTGAAGAAGTTGATGAAGAATGAGTTGCTAAAAAAGAGGAGATATTTACAATAGCTTATTTACTTATTGTTTTTGTCCAGTTTTTCGTATACGTAATTGGAATAGTAACCTTTCTTCATCTATACAATCAATTCAAAGCTCACTTTCGATAACAGGTAAGCTATTATAGATCAATTTAATCACATAATGCATTCAGTAGAATGGCGAAAAACCTCTTTAGGAATTTGATTACTGAACATATTTTAATTTCATTCAAAATGAGTTGCTGTATAGTATATGATTTTAAATTATTATGAACAGAATATGCTTAAACCTTGGTCAATATTATTGTATGTTTGAAAAAAAAGTTTAAAACAAGACTTACATATTGTATGTGGACTTTCTATGCATATATATTAACCACTGATTTATTTTCCATCTGTTATTTACTAATGGTTACAACTACCCTTTGTTTTATATAATAAATATTTAATGCTGACTTGTTTTATTTGGTGCCTGTAATTTTTAGTTGATTAAGAGTCCAGATGTAGCACACTATGCTATTTTTGAATGGTTTCTAAGGGTTGTACCGTGCTGTTTAAATTATGCTTGGTAAATGTATGAGCTAAAAGTTAATTACGATATTGCATTATGTTTTCCAAAAATTAAAAGTCCCGGTGGAAACATTTATATATATATACATCAGAAATGATCAAATACAAAATTTTGTGAACATTGCACATGAGAAATAAAATGTATTTTTTTAACTGTTCGAGAATAATTGTCGGACTCACTCATTCGTAATTTAGAATTTAAGTGAATTTAAGTTTCTAACCATTTTAGCATATCATCTGTATGTTTTTAGTCGTTGTGGTGTATACATATGCCTACTTCTTGTATCCATATGTTCTTAACTGTTAATGTTATTAAATATTCTCATGCATGTTAAATTTAGAGTTGTAGTCAAATACATGCTTGTACTTGTTTTTTGTTATATCTTAATATTAAAGATATAATTGAGGAGAATTCAATTTTAAAAGATACCATTGAATTAACGAGGATATTCTCCACTTATTTAAAGCTGTCCAGAGTAATTAACTATCAAATATAATTTAATTCGTTGATAGTCAGACTTTACTGAAACTGATATATTTAAATTGTTATTTTTAGTTGTCTCACATTCACATGCATTTCACTAAAAACGGATAATAAAGCCTAAATTGGAATAAAAATTTCAGCCAACAATCTTTTTCAGTACACAGTTCTTGTGTTCACTGATATGGTACACACTATTCTGCAGTTTCCAATTTTGTTATATAAATGAATGACTTTTTGTATAAATCTTGTTTTCGATGGTTGCCTGCTGTAATGAATTTAGTAAATTTGGTTGGCATATCACATGAAAGTGAGCCTAGTGCCATAATATTTAATAACTTGAATTTTCAGCCATTTAAAATTGATTTTGTTTTTCAATCTGTGAAAGGTATAAATGTATATATAATTGTGATCGTATGTCAAAAAACCTACCCTGTATAATGTGTATATTAAAAGTAATACATCTTCGTGTGTGTGGAGTAACAGATGCAGACATGTCCGTGAAATGTGTCTTAATTACTGCTTACTGTATTTTACAAAGGAAATCATTACATTAAAATTACAATAGTGGTGAAAGAATTTTATGCTTACATGCTGCTAAAATACTGCTTGATGGCTTAAGGCCATTTACCATTCTACATTAAAGGTTTTCCTAAAAATAAGATGTAAAAATGACATTTAGAAATGTTAGTATTGAATAAAGACTACGAATATTATCTCCTATATGTCAACTGGACTATTATAATAGTCCCAGATGTGAAACATATAAAAAGGCGGCTAAGAATAAGCAATGTCATTATGTTACTGGTTTCTGAATCCCGATTGTTAATGCTTATGATCTGAAATTGTATGTTAAGTTCATGGAATGAAATATTGTTTAAACTGAGGCATGCTATAAATATAAATTGTGTTATATTTATAACATGCCTGGGTATCTTTAGTATCTTCCACCTCTCTTTTAAAATGCACGGGTAATGCATATGAATCAATAAAAAAAAGGTCAAAGAGAATTTTCAATTTTTAAGATATGCAATAAAATGTCATAATCATTATTTGTTGTTTTTTTCGAACGCATCATTAAATGAGTTTTTGTTGCACATACTTTATAAAAAAGCAAGTCCATATTGAGTTGAAACTTGGCCTTTGTTTTTTTTTTTTTTTTTTTTTGTTAAAATGAACATGTATAGCCTTCTGAAACATGAGTAACTTATACTCTGCCACAACTTGGCTTTATTCATTATACATGTAGTTAGACAGTTACGAACATCTTTTTCCAATGTTATGTGTGTGGTTCCTGGTATAACTACAAGTTCAATGTGTGAATATGCTGCTCCTTTTTTTTTAAATCATGCGGTCTTTTCAGCCATTTTAGTGGTTTTCTTTTGCCTGTTCTTTTATAATAGCTAGGGTAGTTTCAAAAGAATGCTTGTATCTCAGGAGGGGTTTTAATTTGTTTAAGATCAAAACAAAAGATTAATATATTATAAAAGAGAGGCGAAAGATACCAAAGGGACATTCAAACTCATAAGTCGAAAATAAACTTACAACGCCATGGCTGAAAAAGAAAAAGATAAACAGACAAACAATAGTACACAAAACACAATACAGAAAACTAAGACTGAGCAACACGAACCCCACCAAAAACTGAGGGTGTTCTCAGGTGCTCCGGAAGGGTAAGCAGATCCTGCTCCACACGTGGCACCCGTCATGTTGCTCATGTTAGTACAAACCCGGTTGTAAGTCTAAATCGGTATGTCACATTCGGGGAAAAGGGGACAGGATTGTAGTTACGACATTTGGAACATATCCGCTATCATCTCTGAAACAGGTATTCCATAACGGTCAACCATCTCGTGATGGCCTCCGTAAAAATTTACGAAGGGAGGATTTCAACATCACCACTTGGAACTCTTGGTTTAATAGCTATTAGTAACTTCAGTGAAAAATAACTTCCATCATTGCAAGGCAAAAAAATCAAATATGTTTTTTTCTTTATTTGGACGAATCTACACATATATATTGCATAAAAATACATACTACATAATTACAGTCTATAAATATTATTATAAAAAAAAATCTATTCTTTAGATTTGTAATACATTTTTAAAAACCCCAAAGGAAAATGTATATAAAATCACAGTACTTGTGTCATCTCGATACAATACATAAATGATAGAAAGCTAATCAAATATATAACACCAAATGTCTTCAAATTTTACTAATTTTTTTTCTATTCATTCATTGCTTAACATTAAAGCAAATGAATTACATTATTGAAAACTTTAACTAATTTTCCACGAGTAAATCAACCACTGTTTTAGAATTCTTCCTTCTATTAAGCCGACTTCAAGGCCGTAACTAGGCATATTATTTTAGTGAGGCAGAACTCATAGCCGAGCGGAGCGAGGTTAAAAAAATTGAGCCGAGCGAAGCGAGGCGAAAAATTTTGGCAGGGGACTGGGATAGATGGTGTAAAATCCTGCATTCTGGGCATTTACAGAGAGCTTGACATCGTTTTTATTTTTGGACACTTTTTATATATTTTTCATATTTTAAGACATGTACTAACACCAAATTTTTATCAACTTTATCTAAATTTATATGTCAGATAAACATCCAAATATCAATTTGAGTCTGCCACCAGAACACAGAACAAACATGGACTCAGTAGCAATTGTTATTCAAATTGGAGTTTGTCAATTTTTCTATGGCCGGTTTCGTCAAATCGTTTCAGAATATTTGGTCTGCTGACATCCTTATCGAGATGAACATGGAGCATGGCAAGACTCCACAGTCTCTCGCCACTCATGCATGCTCTTTCCCAAGTTTTCAGTCGTCTCGAGGCAGAAAAAGAACGTTCACAGCAAACACTCGTCACTGATATTTTAGATCGAGAATCGAATAATGAAGGGGTAGGAGGGGGTCCGATCCCGAAATCCCATATTAAAAGACACGAAATTCCGTAGTCCCGAATTAGAAAACACGAAATCCCGTTTTAAAGGTCCTACCGTCCCTCAATAATGTCAAAATTGGATTACGGGAAGTTCTTAAAAATTTTAAGGTAAAAGAAACATGGATAAAAACTAATCCATGCAGGTTTCATATTATTTATATTTTGTTTATCTGTAAAGAGAACGAATAAAGTTGGGGAAATGAATACGCAGACAGGACTGCTCCCGTACGGGTGCCCCAGTACTTGATTTGTCCGTCTATTTATAGTTTTTGGATTAGTTCCATTGAAAATATATTCAATACTCGAACTCTTAACACCTGTTGTAATCACAAACAACATCAGTTAGTTTACTAGAACTATTCCTTCCTCACCTTTAGTATCGCTTTTCCTTATTCTGCAAGAGCCTGTTTTAAACCAGAGATCCATGATGATTACCGTTACAGGGTTAATGTAATCGAGAAACCCGGTGAGATGCTGAGTTATATCCGGGAAGAACAATTTAAAAGGAACGATGTGACTCAAGTTATAGAAATAATTAAGGTTGAGAAAGAAAAAACAAATGACTATATTTCGTACTTAATTACCATAAACAAATACACCAAAACAAAAATTCAGTGTCGAAATTTTAGTGAGGCAATTGCCTCACTTGCCTCAATGGTAGTTACGGCCTTGGACTTTTAACATATCAGTTATTTGCAGATCAATGTATTTGTAGGAGTCAAACCAGACAACAATAAATTCGAAGTAATATAAAGCATGCATTTTTTTCTGACAATGAATGAATGGAATGCGTAAAAAGGACTGGTGTAAGTAAAATGATAAACACACAAGCCGTCTATCGAATTGAAAGGTGCAAATCCTACTGAGTAAATTTTCATTTTTCAATTTTAAGTTATCAGAGTTTGTCATATACTCAAAGGTAAATCATCACCATGTCAATGATATAGTACGTATTCTAGACAATGTTTATCCACAACAGAAAAGTATTAACAAAGATTGAGTTTTTGGTATCTTATGAATAAAATGTGATGTAGGGTATATGTCTATACCAGATACACAAGAGATCGCAAACAGTAAACACTTATGTGTATGATCATCCCCAGTATTTCGTAGGTTTCTTGTTGTTCAGTGTTTAGTTTTTATGTAGTGTTTTTGTGGACTTAATTGTCTTTTTATCGTCTTTTGTTTTTTGTCATGGTATTGTCAGTTTCTTTTCGACTTTTGAATGTTCACTTAGTAGCTTCGGCCTCTTTTTGATGCAGTATTGGGAGAAGACTGTATAAGTTTGATTAACTTGTGTCTCATCCCTTTTGCATATTTAAGCAAATAAAATATGTTTAAACTAAACTCTTTTTTTTCCCAGTGTTACACGTTTATTTTTTATATGAAGTTTTAAAACTGCAATAGGTTTTGAGGAAACGTTTCAAAAATAGAATGACCAGAAGCCCAAAACTCAATTCTGTTCTGTAATCCTTTAATTATGTAATAAACATTGCCATAAAGGTTTAAAAGGATAGGCCAACAAAGACATTCATCTGAAGGACAGTTATAACAGCACCATACCTTAATATGATAAAAAAAAAAAGATACGGTGGTTGTATGAAAAAGTAACCTCTCATTATGATTATGACATATTTGCACACACCAGTGAGAACTCAGGTTTAGTGTAGATCATTCACAAGTAAATTATTGTTTTCAAGATTTAAAAAAATACAGCTAATCTTTTCAACATAACTCCTTACTTCTGTAACTCTTCATGTAGGAACAACTTTTGCTAAAAATTCACTTTAAGGAATGTATCCTGAAAAACATGTTCTAGTTAACCATATGATTGTTTCTAATCATATTCTGATCCTATTGTTATACTGATGTTTTCTCCTATATTTAGCGTAGAGTGATACCACTTGTTTGTATCTAGAACGACTGAAAATAAAATAAAATATTAGTCATAGTTTCTACTGACAACAGTGAAGTTATCCTCTGATCAACTTCTCATTATTCATTATAAATCCAATTCAGGTGCAGTCATTATACCATAAAGATAATTGTATTCATATTCTTTGGTTTAATCAATTGTAAAATGTCATTACAAATCTATTACATGGCTTCTAAACCTCGTTACAAAAACGCTGATAACGGTAAAAGAAATTAAAAAGACCATGGAAATTCAAAAAAACCTTTTAACGAATCCGATCCCGAAAATAATTTGATTCCAAAAATAGTAATATTAATCACATAGTTCCTTGTTTTCATTTAGAATACGCCAATAAACAAAATCAACATACATCACATTTATCAGAATTTCCCAAATAAAAAACAACAGTGCTCATTAAAATCTAAACATTTGAAACTCCATTCAAAAAATAATTTTTAGATGCTTTATAGGAATAAATTACTTGAGTAAAGGCACTACCTTGGGAAAGTGAAAACCCATGATTTGAATTCTAACATTAAATAAAAAAAAAAGAGATTACTACATATATTGTGATTCGTCGTCCCTTTTCATTACCTACATGAATGTAGCATGCACCTTTCGTAGACTGAAGTGAGGCGGAAAAGTACAGGCTTTAGACCCGGTTTAGGAGGAAATAATGAATCAGATCTATCTTATAAACATTGTGTTGTTTTAAACATATACAAATATTCGAAAATGAAAAGTTCTTCGATACAGTAATGTATATTTAAAAGCGCTGACAGTAATTATCATGTAATTTTTTATGTTCTTTCGTAATTTATTTTTCAAATACATTATGTATACATATATGTGTGTAGGTGTAAAACTCAATATGATATTGAAATTTACGTCACTGATGAGTCTTATGTAGACGAAACGGCGCGTCTGGCGTATATAAACAAGCCTGATATATTTGATGAGGTTTTTGTTTTGAATAACTGTACGAAAATGATAAAATAAAAAGAACTCCCGTCGATACATCTTAAAATTGCTAAAGTTCATGCTTGATAAAATATTGATATAATGCATTGCCTGGCGGACTCAGTGAGGAGTCATTTTTGATGCACTGAAAATTACAACAAGCCGTAAACAATGAATCGGAAGATAATACGTGGGGATAAATGACAAAATCAAAGGAAATGAATAATTTTACGAAAACTTAATGTGTTGGAAAGAGATCTAGCAATATCTTACTTATTTCTCCTTGATTTACAATAACTTCTAGCTGTCGCGGACATTGAAAATAGCAGTCCCGTGGGGGCTGTAGAAGCCACCTTTTTCTACCAGTAATCTGAGCTTGCCATGACGGAAGATCTACATGATCAATCTGGAACAAGAAATAAACATTGGCTTTTAAGGGTGTGCAAAATAATGCCCAAGATCAAATTGGAAAAGGCGTACAAATGGAAAAATAAAAAATTTGTATTGCAGGTATGCAAATACACGTAATTGGATCTACCGAATAATACTACGAGTTGTCATGGGGATTTTCAAAATTTTCTTTGCACAATATGTTTCTGAGTATAAAAACGGATCATTTTGAAAGTGCCCACGACTGAAGAAGTCTAATCGTGTACCTCATTAACATATGTTATCGGTGGTCTCTTAGAAGTCGATCTTCAATGTAATCGATACTTAAATAACTAAAGAAATACATATAGTCAAAAGTTTAGAGTTTTAGATGTACTGGTACATCACTTATTTATAATACATTTTGTGTACATATCCAAAAAATTGCAAAGTTCATTAATATTGCAGCCATTTACTTACGTGCATATGAGCCCCATAGCCTGGACTACCCATAAATATCCAGTCAGTTTTGCTAGATTCTGAAAACTCTGGTAAAAAGTATGGCCTAGTATAATGTTGTCTCAATATATTTGCTGCTGAATTATCGCAGTTGCTCCTGAAACAATATGTATTCTCTGTTTTATTTTTTGTTGAAGTTGGAGGTAAAATGCACCATGTACAATTATACACAGTACTTTTTAAAAATCATCCGTTCATAAATTATGAAAAATGTACGAAAACAAAGGTTACAACACTTTCGGGTAAGTCTGATCTGTTGCAGCCCATTTGGGTTTTGATGCTTCAAAACCTTTACTGTATGTGGTATTTTGATCAAAAACTTTGGAGGGACTTTGATGGAATATAACCTCATCACATTTTTCTTGAAACTTAAATTCACTTTAATTTTACGGGAAGTACCAAATCATGTTTTAGTAAAGATATATGATAGAAAACAAAACCACATTGCCATAATTTCAAAATTAAAGATACCAGCTGTTTTTCTTCGTTTTAAATGGTTAAAAATATGTTAATTATATAAATTGTATATAAGCAGTTAAAAATGACTTGTAAAAGTCGATACACAGACTGCTTTTTACGTCATTGTGATTTTGGTGGAAAGATGTCTAATTGGCAATCATACAACATCTCATTATTTTTATATTATAAATTATATATGTAGGACTCAAATCTATGGCGGGTTCCAAATCTATGGCAGATTCCTAATCTATGGCAAATGTGACGTTACAAACGTCAAACAAATCAAATCTATGGCAGATTTTTGTTTTCTCCAAATCTATGGCAGATCTTGTAACCGTAATTTTCCGGGAACAAGAGTACCATATAAAGTCACAATTGAATAACGCCATATTTGAATTTTCAGTTCAGTATTTTTGTGATTTTACTTTTTACATTGTCGCCGCAAACAATGGCGAAACCCATAAAATTGAACACCATTCCAGATGAAGGTATTTCCCTCTACAACAATTTGCGGATTGTTTAAAAGAAGATGTGACCTATTATCCGGAAGAGAGTGCTATACCGGCCGAATCCCAATATGAATAAGCGCACCGCTGTTTTCACTACCGGATATTTTAGGAAAAGAGTTACATGCATAGTAAATATTTCACCGTCTACGGCTGGAAAAATTTATAAGGTGAAAGATAAAATTACTGGATACCAATTTGATTTAAATCGTCATCAAATAAAAAAGATGTACTAAGGATGAAATAAAAATTATGTATACCGGTACACTTACATAATGCAGAAGACTTCATAAGTATGATTTACTTGCGTCTAATCAATTTTGCTTTAATTCAGCAAATAAAATATGTTTAAACTTTAAACTACTATTGTGTGAAAACTCAAACTGTTCATTTTTTTTTATTTAAAAAAAACTGCTTTCTTGTTTGTTAAGGGACTCACTTGTTGGTTTAATGAATGGGTTAAACAGGTACCATGCACAGATTAGAAAATGCTTATTTTACGGGGCACATCATTTCAATTTTAAAGTCTGTATTAAGTATTTGAAGTCTGTTTTAAGATATATGAATTCATCATTTACAAATTTTTTTGGTTGCCATCACGATTTGGTCGACTATTATGGAATGTTTATTTCACATATGTTTATAGACATTTCCACTTCTTTAAGACAAGTCATTGATCGTATATATGTACTGCATTGTTTTCCATTTGCACAAATCTGCCATAGATTTGGAAACACCAAAAATCCGCCATAGATTAGGAAATGACAAAACTAGCCATAGATTAGGATTATAAAAAATCTGCCATAGATATGGGATGGCATGACGTCATATTTACCATAGATTAGGAATCTGACATAGATCTGAAACCCACCATAGATATGAGTCCTACATATATATTTGTGATAAAAAAAGCAATGGTTGAATATTAATTATATATTATTTCACAAATTTTAAACCCAAAAATCAATTCATATATATAAGAAGTATTTTACATGTGCTTACTGAAATCATACCAAAATTATTTTTTTTAAAGGAAGTTAAAACAGGTTCCCTAGACGTGTTTGATCTAGTCTGTTAGTTAAGGCCATTTCCGTTTTCTTGGTCACAGTGTGAAATTCGACACCTTCCCGAAAAGTATTTTATGGAATGTCCAGCCAGTATCCTTTTCTGTGTTAGTGCAATAATGATTTTTTTTCATCATCCGACTCGTGTTTGCATACAATGAACAAAGAAAATGCAAGAGATACGTTGAACGTTCATAAAACAGAAACACAACAACACAAAATTAAATGTCAACTTGTGGTATTTTTCTGATACATATTACTCTGCAGTCTGTTAACCTTTCTTTGAATATACATGTATTCTTGTTTTTCAATAAATAAACCGTATTGTTTTGTGATATACTTTAGATGATCGATTCTTCATGCACTTATCTGACTAAAAAAATAATAATCAGTTCAATCATGATACCCAAAATTTGATAATTAAAAACCAAGTAAATAAAATATACTAACCATCCAATATACCACGGCATTGCTTCGCCTTTCATGAAAGCTCTTTCCTCGCTCATTTCAAACACTTTTCCAAGAGAAGTAAAATCCGTTTTGTACGGGAAAAACTGACAATCTCTTTCTACTTTGTCCAGTGCTTCACTTCCAGGACTAAAAACTTCTTTCATAAAGTTGTAACTAAAAAATTCTGATGCTGTCCAATTTTTTGTGCCATCACTAATGACAATAGGTATTCCACTATATGCATACTGACTTTCAAATTCTTTGATACTGATATTATTAATATGGTCTACATAGTGAACATTTCTGCAAAAATCGCAGTTTAACGGTGGTTTTATATTTTCTGTTACGCTCTCTGGTACATATACAACACATGGTTCTTTCAATGGATCTGATTTGTACCATTGAAACCACCACACTATTACATGGGTGTTAGATACTGGCCATTCTGTCACAAAAATAAATAATATAGCGACAAAAACTATACATGCAATCGTTAAAAAAAGTCTACAATAGTTTACACGGTTAATAGATTTCTGAATTTCGTTTACACTACTTAACTGTTGGAAGTCTTCAGGTTTTAATCCTAGCTTGATGGCTTGTCTATGCAAATCTGCAAAAAGCTTACGCGGTGTTCTAGATACGAACTTGTCTTCGACTTCGTCGTCATTGTTTTCGTTTAACGTTGACTGTTCCTTTTCAGCTTTGGCCACCCGGTTTGATCGGTTCCTCATAACTTTATGTGTTCTTCATCACTACTCCACAGTCGAACAACAAATAATTGTTTTAATTGGTAGAAGCTAGAGAAGTTTAACATACACTGCAACTTTATCATGTTTATACATATTAAAGACGACAGTTAAATAATCTATAAATAACATCAACCGTGTGTATTTATAAATTTCCTTATTTTCGAACCTCTCGGTTATTATCTATACAGTATGAAGATCCGAAATATGTCTTAACACCACACTAAAATCATAAAACAACGTTATGGTGTATTACGCCCATATATTTACAATTGCGATCTCGATACTTTAGTGTACGAAATATGCACATACAAAATATACTTCAACAGTATGTAGTTGCCGATGCATATGTATATAGATGACGTAAACTAATTGTAATTTAGTAATTCTTCAAAATAGCTTTAATACCAGCATCACGCTTTTCGGCTTAGAATATTCATGAATGAAATGTCGAATACATCTATTACCTTTCTTGACGCAAGCGCCACATAAGGGGCGGAATTAGTCAAACTGGTATTTAAGATAATAAAACATATTTCAAAGTGACAATTTCATTCCTATATTTGAGCAATTCTATAAAGGCGGCAGTGGCTATTTTGCCTGCTCTAGGTAAGGGGAGGCCAATGTTGCACATAAAAAACGATTTTGTTTACAGATATGCAATTCAAAGAACTGACTGTTATTTCAAAAGCAAATATAATTTAAACATTTTTTATTTTGAAGCTATGTATTTTGTTAGATTGTATAAATTAATGTTTTTTATCAAATTTATATGCAATCACGGAGATTTTTTATTTTTATTTTTTACAACATACAATTAAAAAAATTGAGATTTTATTCTTATGCATACATGTAGCGTTAGACTGACCGATTTTAGAAGTAATTTCAACTACATGTTTTGATATGATTTCATTGCTATAAAATGGATGCGCAATATTTTTATTCTCATTTCTTTTTACAAATTCTAATTTTTACTTGGACTCGTAAATGTTCTTTTAAAAACGATTATATGTATCTCAAATATTGTTACTGTTATCTCATTTAACTATATGAGTTATAATTTGATTCTTATGTGTTGACAATGCACATTTTCGTAGTACTTTTCAAAAGTAAATTTTAAAATTCACTGTACAATGAACCGGCAAATTAACAAATTCGTTATATTGCCAGCACTGGCAAAATAGCTATTGCTATAGAAATATGCTATTTTGCCGGCTTTATATAAGATATATTGTATGCTAATCGTAGCAGGCAAAATGGCATATTTTCTATTTTGCAGGCGCCGGCAAAATAGCCATGCACTGCCTTCTTTAAAATAGCTAACGCGCATTCACGCGCGATCGCCATTAACACTTTCTCTAAATATTCACACATGAAGTGTCGAATGCATGTACATGGATGGAGAGTTGTGTAATTGGCACTCATACCACATCTTCTTATTTATATTACCTTGCTTGACACGAACGCCACAAAATTAGACAGAATTATAAGCAACTGGCATCTAAGACATCAGAAACCTAGTTTCAAAGTGACGGCAATTTCATTGATATATTTGAATAGAAAAGCTGTCACTATTCCCGTGTCTTCAAATATTTTATCAAAGAAGGGACAATAGGACTACGAACAAGCTACATGCCTTATTAGATTATTAGAAACAAGTAATTAAGGTATAACAACAGTCTAATGCATTAAAATTTGGGGTGGCTGTTTCTAATTTATACCTATATATATATACACACACATATATATATATATATATATATATATATATATATATATATATATATATATATATATATATATACAAGTCTAAATTGAAAACAACGGTCAAACCTATGATTGCGTTGGATAAAAACCGCAATTTGTATACGTGTGCATGCAAAACAAATTGCTTGTTAGAGGGGTCTAAATACAGCACAAACAACATTTTCTAAAAGACCAAAAAAGTGAAAAAGTATATTTTAACAAAACGCATCTGACTAACAGGTCGAACAACAAATGTTCTTAAACCCTGCTGACTGCCATTGGCGATTGCAAAATAAACGGATCACCGATCACGGTAATAAATGGATCTTAATTATAAATTTAATACTAAACAGAAAACAATAAACTTGCGGAAAAGATGGTAGACCGCAAACAAAAGGTGCAAAGGTTTTTGTACACCATATCCGGATTTCGACAATTAATGTCTCTTCAGTGATGTTAGGAATCGAAACGGTATTTGGAAAGCCATACAATTTACCTCAATTTAGGATAGACTCTTGAATTTTGAGGAGTCAAAATAGGCTGAACGGATCATATAAACCCGAAGGCAAATATAATACAAGCCCAAACGAAAAAATATAAACAAGTCTAAATTGAAAACAACGGTCAAACCTATGATTGCGTTGGATAAAAACCGCAACTTTTATACGTGTGCATGCAAAACAAATTTCTTGTTAGAGGGGTCTAAATACAGCACAAACAACATTTTCCAAAAGACCAAAAAAGTGAAAAAGTATATTTTAACAAAACGCATTTGACTAACATGTCGAACAACAAATGTTCTTAAACCCTGCTGACTGCCATTAATATATATACAACTCGTCTAAACATCAGCCCAACAATGTTAGATCTGTAAATTTGCTTTCGCAAATTTTTTGTTCTTCCCTCGCCGGGATTCGAACTCATGCTACTGAGATATCGTGACACCAAATCGCCTGCACTGTATCCGACGCGCTAGACCACACGACCACCTAGGCTTCACATATATATATATATATATATATATAAACAAGTCTAAATTGAAAACAACGTTCAAACCTATGATTGCGTTGGATAAAAACCGCAATTTTTATACTTGTGCATGTAAAACAAATTTCTTGGTAGAGGGGTCTAAATACAGCACAAACAACATTTTTCCAAAAGACCAAAAAAGTGAAAAGTATATTTTAACAAAACGCATTTGACTAACAGGTCGAACAACTGATGTTCTTAAACCCTGCTGACTGCCATTGACGATTGCCAAATAAATTGATCACGAGATGTAACATGGATCTTAATTATTAATTTAATACCAAACAGAAAACAATAAACTTGCGGAGAAGATGGTATACCGCAAACATGAGGTGCAAAAATTTGTACACCATATCCGGATTTCGACAATTAATGTCTCTTCAGTGATGTATATATATATATATCTATCTATGTCTCTACTATAACTTTGCCATTTGTTATATTAAGACGTATTACAGATGTTGTGCTACCCACAGGCGCTTTGGGCATGGACCTACTTTTTGCGTTCAATTTTTTTAATGAATATTCTTTAATAATTTTACTTATTTTCAGTTATTTCACGTGTGCTTGCTTTTATCCATATGATATTACAGTAGTTTATATCTGCCAGCTGGTATAGGCTGCACCTCAGTCTATTATTTTCCACAATCATGAGAACAGTAGAGCTTGACATATCATGACAAAAATCAATATGCTTCTCCCCGGCCCTTCCCTATATCATTAATTGGTATATGTCTCGTTTCATTAGATCAAACAAGGGAAACTCCCAGATATTTCATCTGGAAAATTTTTGTTAAAAAAAATCCACTTTTAGTATAAACAACAAGAATTTCAACGTTCACATATCACAAATCCTTAGTAACAAAGACCTTGAACTTTGACGGCAAAATTAATGGGATTTTCACCTTTTCTATTTTTCCATTAGCATTTTTTTTTGACACACGGACGGACAATGCGGTGACTGTAAATGTGTTACCGAAACTAATTTCAGGGAGCATAATATAATTAAGTATTTACTTTTGGGCATGAAGAAAATCCTTTACATATGTTATCAAATCAACGCATAACATATGTTATATTATTTCTAAGTACTGGCTGACTGTGTTTAAGCTTTTTGGGAATGTTTGTAAAATAATTTCTACTTGCTAATAACATTTTTGCTTTTTAAAAGCGTTCATTGCTATATTATTTTATGTATAAATATTTACTGGTAACTTGATAAACTACATTACCGCATACGATCATGACCAATCGTCTAGCTTTCTATAATGGCTCAGGTTCCCAGGCTATTATTTTATTCTGTAGACTTTTTGAGCAAAGACAAAATGGAAATACCATTTTATATATAGCTTTTCAATACGAAAAAAATTTATACAAATATATAGTTATAACGTCTACTTTCGTTTTATCCTAAATGTTGTAAGCGATGTAAACAAACCGGCATGATCATGAGAAGAAGGGGTGCTTTGGTCGTCTCAGTAGTTGCTATTGTTTTAAGTGTTATATTTGCAGAATCATGGGTACTTTCGCTAGAAAGCAAACTAAGAGGAAGAATTCTCAGAATTCAAGTTGTGATTTTCATACAATGCGCCGTTGCAGTTATGTCAATCTTTTTATGGAAAAATCTGTCTTCTGTATTTCAGACCAAAGGTCATGATGCATCGCCTCCTCGACTTTTGTGGAAATTTATACTTATCATTTATACAATGTTTGCCCATGGAAGTTATTTATCGAACGTTTTCCTTGTCAGAACAGAACCAACAGTCCTAGGCATATTCAGTTACTTGTGCTTAGGAGCTCATGTTCAGATGTTTACATTCTTGGTCATAGCTAAAGCAGTTGGCTTCATGATCAAACTTTGCAAAAAGAAACCATTGAAAAATAATAGTACAGCGATATTGGCAATTTTTTATGGTTTCTTAATGACAAGTTATGGCTATTATAGAATTTGTCAGCCACCAATCGTTAAAAATGTTACTATTCCAATTAAAAATTTGCCACCCTCATTGAATGGCTTTACAATTACATTACTCAGTGATATTCATATTGGACCTACTGTAGGAAAGAAACAGCTTGAAATTGCAGTTGACATAACCAACAGTCTTCAATCAGGTAACAATATTATTAGATGTACAGATCATGAACTAAAAATCTAAACATATTATGATATATGTGCATGTTCTGTATATTGAAGAAATCAATTTTTTTTCTAAACTACAATTGTCAGGTCTATTCTACAAAAGTGTAAAATACTGTTCATATGTCCATATAATTTTATGTCGCATAAAAGTGTATGCTTAGTGTACCTTGTCATTTTATTGACAAAGTCATATATGGATAAATTATATATTTGAAATTTAATTTAAAAAATAAAAAAGACAATTTAAAATAAAAACAGTAGTTATGAGTTAAGTTGAGAAAGTAGTTTTATATATTTTTATTTACATTTATTTATGACTTGCTTGTGAAAATAAAGAAAATGTAATGTAAGTACATAAAACTGATAATGGTAACAGGGAATGTGTCAAAGAGACAACAACCCAACCAAAGAGCAGAAAACAGCCCAAGGCCACCAAAGGGTTTTCAACACAGTGAGAAAATCCCTCGCCCACTTAGTCCAAGAGGCAGGATTCAGCTGACCCCTAAACAAAAATTTATACTAGTTCAGGGCAAATGGATGTCACACTAAACTCCGAAACATATAAATGAACCAAAATTAAAAAAACAAGACTAACAAAGGCCAGAGGTTCCTGAATTAGGACAGGCGCAAAAATGCGGCGGATTAAACATGTTTTGTGAGATCTCAATCCTCCCCCTATACCTCTAGCCAATGTAGAATAATCAAACACACAGCAATACCCACAGTAAAACTCAGTTTAAAAGAAGTCAGAGTCCGATGTTAGAATAGGTAACAGAAGAAACTAAGCAAAATGACTATGATCAACATATAGATTAACAAAGGACTACTAGCAGTTACTGACATGCCTACTCCAGACCTCAATTAAACTAATTGAAAGATTATGTCTTCATCATATGAAAATCAAGCACAATCCCTCCCGTTAGGTGTTTAGTATCATACCATCATAAATTATACGAGAAGAACATAACCCGTATCATGCCAACAACTGGTTTTGGAATAAATGTGTTTATTTCCGATGCAAAGACCCTATGAGTGAATCAATATTATTTCCAAAAATGCCATCTTTAATGACCTGACAACATATACATGGTGTATACTACTTTCAAGTTGTAAAATTTCATTTTGACACCAGTCATTTAATATTTTACATTATCATGATTATGTACCTGATGCTTTGAAAGGATGTAATATAAATATATAGGATGATGATACATGTATATAGTGCATCCGATTTTTATACTGTGGATTCGTTATTATTCATGGGTAACCAATTTTCATGCATTTCCCTGATAAAGGTAACACACAAATTTTACTGTTCATCCAAGTATACATTTTCTATAGGCAGGCTTCTATATGCAGACTTTATCCATTTCAATTGATATTTTATAGTGTGTCTTTCTATGTTGTAATGTTACACTACTATTTCAGGTTAGGGTGAAGGTTGGCACCTGTTAAAACGTTTAAACCCGCTGCATTTGTTTGCATCTGTCCTAGGTCAGGGACCTGTTTCAGTGGTTGTCATTTGTTGATGTGGTTCTTAAGTGTTTCTCTTTTTTGATATAGATTAGACTGTTGGTTTTCCTGTTTGAATTGTTTTACACTAGTCATTTTGGGGCCCTTTATAGCTTGCTGTTCGGTGTGAGCCAAGGCTCTGTGATGAAGGCCGTACTTTGACCTTTTACACATTGTGACTTGAATTGAGAGTTGTCTCATTGGCACTCATACCACATCTTCTTATTTCTATTTAGTATAACCATGAAATCTAATATCCACGAAAAAACAAATTTTTCTCAATCAATGAAAATTGGTATCCATGGAAATAAATGAATCCACTACAGTAACATAAATTAAATTAAAAAGTGTACAATGATGAATAAGAAAAAAATGTCTTATTTTTGTATACATGTATGATGTACAGTACACACTTGGTCATAGTCTGATAAATCATCAGCATCTATGTCTCACATTTTATATATAATTAGATGTCAGGCATTTATTGGGGGTCATAAACCATGGACCCCCAGGGAAGTTAAAAATTGCTACCTGCTGGGCCAATTAACAGGTGGTCATCCAGGTGTGAAATTTTACTGCCACAGGTTGTCAATTTGGTTTCATATTTTGTAACTGTAAAGGTTCATATTCAACTTTGTTTTACAGGTGAACTTTTTGAAAGAAAAAATCAATAATGTAATGAAAAAAAAATCTTTTGTATAATTCCAGAAGGTTTTAATTGTACATTTTCAAAAATTATATGTATGTAGTAAATGCTATATTTTTTTACTATTAACAAAATTATTATCCATTTTATTTATTTTATGATATATTTGGATTGAAAGGTCTAAGGTTTAAGGTTATCAGAAAATTTTCCAAATGCCTTAAAATAAAAGTCAAGTAAAAAAAACGCTGTTGTCTGTTGTACAGTGTGTAGCCTGGGGTCCTGGCTAATCTCACAACGCGCAACTAGATCGGGCCAGGATGCCAGGTTGTACAGTGTGGTATTTTGGCAATTCCTGTTAACCCTTTTTATGTGTTATAAAAATAAATTTAATCACATGACAAATGACAAAGTTTCTCTAAAATATATTAAACCAGTATGTACATGTATATCAGTACCAATACTTGTAAATATTTTCATTTGTATTTTTTCATGTTTTTTAGATGTTGTTGTAATTGATGGGGATTTAGTTGATGGTATGGTTTCACAGTTGAAGGATGCAGTACAACCACTGAGGAATATTAAGTCAAAACATGGAATATTTTATGTCACAGGTAATGCATATATAAAGTAATTGTATGAATAAAAATCATTTCAGTAAGGATGATAAACATAATTGATGTGATATACAATGAAAAAAAATCATAGTTTTTACCTGTAAGCTACTTTTCTTGTATAATTTTATCTTGTCATCCAATACATTTTACCTATGAGATAATTTCCTACTTCCAAAAAAGGGATAACAGAAATCACCAAAAATACTGCAAAGTACAACTGAACACATTAACAACCAACAAACTATTCCTCTGAATAAAAACCCCAAAACAGACAAATTTTAGTCTCTGATGCATGATTTTTTATTATTAATTGTTTTTGGCTTTTAACTAGCTTTCAGTAACTGCGAGTACTCTGAAATCGTAATTTCGTGTTAATTTGACCTGTTGATACAATTTGTAATGTATTTTTGTTATTTAATGTTTAATTATTCGGTGTAATATCTAGTCTCACTATTTTTAATATATACCACCTTTGATAAGTGTTTAGAATGACGATAAATTTTCACTTTTGTTCTCGTACTAGGAACAACAAAATTATTTATTTTGTAAAAATTATTTCCGTACTCCATGTATACAGTACAACCTGTGACTTCCTCTTAGTTATGTCCACCCTCTTGTATGGTCACCATTGAATGGTGGCCATTTATTGGGGTATTCAATCTTAAGATGTTGGCCATTTATTGGGGTCATAAAACATAGGTTGATGTTTTATCTAATTATGTTACCTGTTGAAATCAATCAGGGTTGAAGTTTTCAGCTTGTATGTTTCATTAATATTTACCTGTACAGGTAACTCAGGTTTCTTCTCAAATTGACATATCACCTTTTCTTTAAAATGTAGAATAGAATGTTGTTTTAGTCTTTGTTAATTCATATCATTTGTTGATTTTTCTGTCTTTATATTTACATATTTTCTTTTTTTTAATAATGTTATTTTTTATTTGTTTTTTTGTTCTTATTCTTTTAATTTCTTTTTGGAAAGAATCTTGAGTAGAAATGACAAAAATTCAAAGATAAGTAAAGTTATTGACTAGCATTTGAAAACATAACAGAGAATCCTTTAAATTATTTTTACAGTAAAAAAAAGTTATTGTACATGATGTACACAAATGATGTACATGGTATTTAATTGTTTGTTTGCATTATTAAATGAATAATTATTAATTATAACTTATAATCATGCAAATGATATGTTTAAAGGAACCATGAAGCAAGTAATTTAACAAGCCTGTTTCTTAACTATTTAAAATTATCATTGATAATATAATATCAATATCATGAATATCAATCCTTTTACAATAAATTTTGTTAACAAAGTTGTACAATTTATTTTCATGATTATTATTCAGGAAAACTAAAAATATCATTATATGGTATAGGAATAAACTATTTTTGTTTATCTTTTATATATTTCCAAATCTAAAAACTGGAGTTGTGCACGAAGAATCACTAGAGACTTAAAATTTTCCAAATGGCTACCTAGTTATCATCAAATTTTGACATATGCTATTCATAATGAAAAATGTTCTTATCTCTATATTGATCTGAATAAAGTAAATCTTATGAAAAGAAATTATTTTAAGAAAAAATTGTCTTCCTTTTTGAAACAAATATGTTATCTTCAGTTTGGCTAATTTTATCAGTTAACAGGCAAAATTTGTATCCAGAAAAAATAAAGTACACTTCTATATAGATTGTGACATTTTTATGGTCTATTAATTTAATCACTTTTTGTTCTGTGTATTATATTGTCGAAACTGCAGGACTGGCATATGCATGATACATATTCTTGGTATACATTTGCAAAGAATATTTCACTCAACTCAGGCCTTTTAGATAAAGTTAATAATTGCAGGGACTTGAATGAATTAGATTATTTAAAGCCCTTGATTAAAAATGAATTTTAAGAAAAAAAATAAGAATATTTTTGAAAATAAAATAAAAACTTATGATGAAAACAGTAAACTCAAATGCTTCACTCAGTAAAGAATTAGTGGTCATAATTTAGAAGTAGAAAATGGTGGATAAAAATTACTATAAAGGATAGAATTGTTTGTAAAATTAACATAACAACTTAGAGATAATCTATTTGAAAATTGTTTACCTTCTCATAATTATGTCTCTGACCAGTTTGTGAATAAAATCTTGAATCTTATGAATAAAATCTTAACCAAGAACAAAACGTAAAAGAAATGCTAAACCTCTATAACATGGAACATGTTTAAAATATTGGCTCCTTTATAAAAAAAAGTCATTAGAACTTAGGGCAAAACCTAATAACTTTTTTCCATGTGCTTTGATTTCTTATAAAATTGTTATTTCTTTGCATTATAATGATTGTTTTTGGGTGTTTTTGTCAGAAACTTGATTAAATTGTAATATGTTTATATGACAACAAAAATATTATCAAATTTTTCTGTAATGAATATTTTGAATATACATGTATTTATTCAATAGAGAAATAATGAATTGCCTAAATTTTATTTAAAATAAGTCCTAAAGATCATCTTAAACATTTGTTAAACCATGTTAAATGCAGTAAGTATAAACAATTTTGATTTTAGAAAATTAATTTGAGAAACAATGGAAAAAGGCAGGCATTGTGAAAGTTTGTATTATATATTAGAAGATGATATTCATTTATTATTCACTTGCCAAAAAATACATGTAAAAATAACTTAAATTGATAGAATTATTTAAAAGGTATAACATCAAAACAAACAGTCATGAAAAAATGTTTACAAAAAAAAAGTTAGGAAGCTATATGTTCAACTAGTTTTATAATTATTATTTCATTTTATTTTAGAATTTTCTTGTCATAATCAGTTATTAAATTTGACAAACACTTATATTTTACCTGAGACACTTTACCTGTAAGTTATATAATTTTAACACTTCAATGCAGTCATGATTTCCCTTTATCCTTGACTAGTTTTTGATTAATACCTTGTGTATTAATTAAGCAACAGGAGGTATAATGATGGACATTTAGGGCCATCATGGTGACCATATTTTTTATGGCCTCCATTAATAAGATAATGTCACAGGTAGTACTGTACCTTACAACAAAATTATTTTTATTTACCTGTGTGCGTTATTTTATTTGGGTGGCATTTTGTCCAAGGTTATGGTTGTCTTTCTGATATTGTTAAACATCTAACCCCCTTGTTTTATTAATTTTGTATTTACATTGTGTCATAGATCAAATTTATTCGTTCAGTGTATGTTCACTTGTTTTTGTTAATATGTCTTTTGATTGAGTTAAGCCATTTCAATTGATATTTTATAGTGTGTCTTTCTATGTTGTGATGTTACACTATTGTTTCAGGTAGGGTGAAGGTTGGTGCCTATTGAAACGTTTAAACCCGCTGCATTTTTTTTGCACCTGTCCTAAGTCAGGAACCTGATGTTCAGTGGTTGTCGTTTGTTGATGTTGTCCATAAGTGTTTCCCGTTTTTTTATATAGATTAGACCGTTGGTTTTCCTGTTTGAATGGTTTTACACTAGTCATTTTTGGGGCCCTTTATAGCTTGCTGTTCAGTGTGAGCCAAGGCTCCGTGTTGAAGGCCGTACTTTGACCTATAATGGTTTACTTTTACAAATTGTGACTTGGATGGAGAGTTGTCTCATTGGCACTCATACCACATCTTCTTATATCTATCTATATACAATGTACATTCATACAAACAAATACAAACAACAACATACACATCGGAAACGACCAACAATTTATCATACACAGATGGGGGTTTTATCCCTGAGAACATCACCAGCAAAGTAGTCTGTGCTCTTGTGTTGACATCACATGGAATATCATTGATAGGCATTTTCTGTTAATTTTTCTGTCATTAATAAAACATTCAAATCTTTCAAAACACTAAGATTTTTCTACACTTCAAGCATTACACTATTACAAGAGGCAACATGTTTGTAAAGAATATATAATGACGAAAATGACAGAATGGAGTAAATAATTATATACAACATATAAATACATGTATGATAAGTGAAATAGCAGATACAAAATTATACAGAGCAATAGTAAAATTTGTATCAAATAAGTGTTGTTTTATTTCCAGGTAATCATGAATATTATACTATGGATGTTGAAAACTGGATGGAAACATTAAAAGAATTAGGTATTCATGTTTTACACAATGCTAATGCTAAAGTACCTGCTGACAAAGCAGACGACAATTCCTTATGTTTTGTTGGGACTGATGATATAGAAGCAGATAGGATTAGGTATTAACATGATTATATTTTAATTATATGGGCAACAAGATTAAGTCCAAGGTGCTCCTGTTTTAAGCATGGACATGTCTAAAAAGAATATTGCCAGTGAAGAAAAGTTAATATCCTATGCAAAATAACATTGGGAAAATCTGTAACTTATATTTTTTACAACATGAAGAATTAAATCCAAAGTCTATGTCTCAACTAACAGGTGATAGCAAACAAGACCACCACCTAATCAGTTACATAAACAATTTGTAGAAATTTACTACAAAACAGAACCATAAATATTTGAGAGAAATAAAAATTATAATATATATAACATTGTGCTAACATTAAAATATATCCTGCTGATGTTGGTTTTATAGATGGATTTCTAAAACTCATGAAATATACTTAGTTCCCTTTTTTACACCATACACATGTTTTGTCTACATAAGAATCATACCAGTTGGCAGGCCAAATAGTTGTACACAAGCTTTTATCTTCTTTGAAAACAATAAAGAATTCAGAGAAACTAGTCTACACAATATTGAAAAATAAGCAAATTAAGATCTACAAATAATTTATGATGACTGCATACAGGAAGGCCATTTCACTTTGGAAAGAGGTGATGGGCATGGGATATTTGGAAAAAAAAAAAATTATCCAGATTTTTCTGGAAATAAATAAAATAATCTTGACAATGAAGAACAATTATTTAAATGCCTTGATTTCACATGAATATACTTGATAAGCTGTATAATTGAAAATATGTAATATGTTTTTCAAAAAAAAGTTAATTGTGAAAAAGGTGAAAAATTTTTTTATAAATATGACATATTCTTGTCAGGTGAGCAATTTGGATCCTCTGGTTTTTAAACGTTTTTGTGTGGAACTGATTTTCTGTTTCCAAATGTAAAGTGGCTGTCTCATCATGTATTCCCCTCATATCAACATTATTATAACAAACAATAAAAAGTACAATCAAACAACCATCCACAAAACAAAAAAACTTTAGATTGAACAAAAAGAGTTGTGACTTTTTTCACTGTTGTGTTTTGTTATGGACTTGCTTAAGTTCTCGTTTATATTACCATAACGTTTGCATTACAGGTATGATGGACATGGTATGAAACTAGACACTGCCATTAAGGGTTGTTCCACTAAACAAATCACCATTTTATTAGCACATCAGCCAAGTGCAGCGAAAATTGCATTGGGGTCAAATAATAAAATTGATTTAATTCTATGTGGTAAGTAGAAAATAAATTTAATAGAAATAGAAATATTTTTTTTAGATGTTTAGGGAATATTTATATTAATCTTTTCAGATATCATGATTTAATGGTAAATCATCTGAATAAAACATTATATAAAAGCAAAACAAATATGATTTTTAAGTCACAAGACTATAAAAAAATTTACATAAATGTACATACTTGTTTGTCCATGTGATTGCTACATTATTATTTCAGATAAGGAATTTCTTTAAAAGAAAATTATTTACAAAATGGAAATTTCTTTTAACATCTTAAAATTAGCTGAGTCTTTAGTTGCATTCATAAACCTTAGTCTGACACACACAATAGCTGACAATATGATACAGTATATGGAACAAGTTTAAACAAAATGAAGGGTGCTTACTGTTTAAAGGTTGTTTATTTCCGTGGTGCTTAAATTTTGCTACTTCTAGGGCAAAATATATTCTTGTGATTTTATTTTCATGTCTTACTTTCACTGATTTTTTATTACAAATGTTTCTTTAAAGGTCAAATTTTCATAAGGATATATTTTTGCAATTTTTTACTTAATCGCAAAATAAGCTAAAATAAACCTCTCAAGAAAATTATTCAGTTTGTTGACATGAGAAATCATAATATGTTGTCCTTGGACAAATTTGATGTATCTAATTTTTTTTTATGGAAATAAATGTTAAAATTTATTAATATAAAACAATGCTAGTAATTTTTAATCTTCCATTTGCACCAAATCAAGAAAGGTTAATTAGGATCATTAACAAGCAAAGTTGACTTACATGCATAAGGAGGAGTTTTGCATACAAAATTAAGTCAACCAAATAATAATTCAAAAATCACTTTTCATTGTTTAATTACTTAAATATTAACACATTTGTGTCAATGTATGGCCACTTGGTGTTCATTTTTAGCAATAAAAAGAGGGTGAAGATACAATGGGACAAGATAGAATGATAGCATTAAGAATATATCTTTTTTATGGAAATGAATGTAAAAGGGTAGGGGGATATTATCATCAATGCAAATGGGGAGAAGATACTGAATACTCACATGTGTAAACATGTTTTCAACAATAACAATCACTTCTAGTCATATAATTAAAGTTCATTTTGACATTTTCTCTTGGTGATTATTCTTGCTAATGACGATTAGAGAACTTTCATTTTATGAAATCCTTATAAATCAACCCAAGAATTGTTTAAATGTTTAACATATTTTCAACACACACATTTATCATTATTATTCAATACAACACACCTGAACATTTATAAATGTATTTGTCATTCATTTTATTGTTTGAAGGATTATGATTGACCTTTGTCAATAACACAAATTCTCTTTTCTGTATTTCAGGACATACACATGGCGGCCAAATGTTTCCCATAATAATAGGTGCCTATTTTATAAATCCTTTTTATGCTGGATTGTATCAGCATGGAAACACCTTTATTTATGTATCAATGGGGACTTACTATTGGGGCTTTCCTATGAGAATTGGCACCCAACATGAAATTACAAAAATAACACTACTTTCAGTATGATTAAAATGATTTTATAATTCTTAATTTAATTTGCTCAAAACATTTATTTTTGTTGTAATGTTATCAGTATTGTATTAATAACTCATTCTAAATTGATATGATGTCAATAGGAAAATTAAGTTCTAATCATCTTAAATGTGTGCACATGGTTTACTGTTGAATTAAAGACAAATTAATACTTCATTTTCCTTCATTTTGCAGATGCATTTTTCTGAACTGATCTATTTAGATGAACAATACCAATATTTTTAACGAGAATAGTGATTAACTGTGATTTCTGCACATTGCAATCAACCAGAAAAATCCAATTTTGAAGATTTGTACTATTTTTTTCTGCCATACAGATTTTGTTGGCTATGTTTGACATGTTAATATCAACTGTGAACAGTACATTATTGACTTATTCCAAAAGTGCACTGATCTATATTTGGAATTTTCATATTTTTTATGGTGTCTTGATACCTTTAATATGATTTTAACTTCAATCATATTTATAGATATTAATGTATAAGACATAGTGAATATTGATTTTGAAGAAAAAATATAAGAGAGTCCTTGCAAAAAGGTACTTAAAAGGCCACCAATGGGTCTTCATGATGTATGATGTCTTTTCACAAAGGTAAAGACATGTAAGTGTAAAAGTGAAGCATTTTTCTCTCATTGGTGTCATAAATGTACTTGTTTCAGATCAAATGACAGTTGTTGCTTGCATTTTCCCCCCACATCTTCTCCTTTTTTTGTGGTGAATTTAACATTTTCTGAAAGTTTAAAGTAACAATAATGTCACCACTGAATAAAGTCATTTTTAAAAACATTTTTGTCAAGCCTGTGACTTCTGTAGCAGGAAGCAAGACATAGGGATGATGATCCAATGGCGGCAGCACTAACTAACTACTTAAAAGCTTAACATTTCAAAAGGTAGAAGACCTGGATGCTTCATACTTTGTATATAGATGCCTTATGTTATGAAGTTTCCGTTTGTCATATGTCCATTGTCCTTTACATCATTTTCATGGTTCCATGACTACTTGAAAAAAAAGTTAAGATTTTTTGTAATGTTAATTTCTCTCTTATTATAAATAATAGGATAACTATATTTGATATGTGCATACCTTGCAAGGTCTTCATGCCTGTCAGACAGTTTTCACTTGACCTCGACCTCATTTCATGGATCAGTGAACAAGGTTAAGTTTTCCTGGTCAAGTCCATATCTCAGATATAATAAGAAATAGGTCTACTATATTTGGTAATGTAATGATTGTAAGGTGTACATGTCCAACTTGCAGGTGTCATCTGACCTTGACCTCATTTCCATGGTTCAGTGTTAAAAGTTAAGTTTTTGTGTTTTGGTCTGTTTTTCTAATACTGTATGCAATAGGTCAAATATATTTGGTGAATGGAAATATTTTACGATGTACATGTCAGTCTGGCAGGTTTTATTTGACCTTGACCTCATTTTCACAGTTCATTGCTCAATGTTAGGTTTTTTTGTTTTGGTCTGTTTTCTTAAACTATAAGCAATAGGTCAACTATATTTGGTATATTTCCTTGTAGTAAAACTTTACATTTAAGACTATCAGCATAAATTCATTGGTCAGTTAAGCAGGCGAGACATTTCAGTGTGTGCACTATTGTTAAAACAATTTACATCCAAGAAACACTTTTATACTTTTTCAAATGGAACAGCTTACATATATATATATATATATGAATATTATTATTTACCTTCATTTAATTTTTGAACATTAGTTTTATTTCCTTTTAAAAAGAAAAGTTTTTGCAGTTTTGCTTGTTTGTTACATCAGTCCTCATATTCATTTTAACTAAGACATTGATAAAGACCTGCAACCATGAAAAAAAAAGAATTTCTTTATTGTGTCATTTTCTTGAACATTTAACATAAAATTATTGAAATGCACATCCTTAATATGGCTATCAAATTTTGTTTGATAGAATGAAATCTACAAAATTCTAGAACATCTCCAGTTGACTGCAATGAGCTGTATAATTTTACTTTTTAAAATGTGAACATTGAAAACCCCATAAACAAGTTAAACAAGAAAAAACAAATAAACAGGTTTTCAAATGAAAAAAAAATTACCACTTTCATCAATTAAGGTTGATTGCAATATAGGAATAATTGGTCACAAAATGTTATTTTCAAAATGATTCATGTATACTTTTTTAATTCTTATGTTATTTGTGATTAAAAGCTTTAATTTGATCAAAGATGTGTAATGAAAGTTTTTATGATATGAGAAACTGTTAAAAGTGCTCAAAGCTTTCTTCTAGAAGACCCAGAGCTAAAAGTTTAGAAAACCAAAGAATTTTTGTTCACTATGATCATGTTTGATATGCGCAAAAATCAGAACTATTTTTTTCTTTAAAAAAGGGCTTAAAGATTTGCAAAACCATCAAAGGTCAGCTTTGCCGAATGCAATTGTATCATTGGCATAGATTTTTATTTTAATATCAATAAAAACTTGAACTTGGTAAAACATCATGTCAGTACTAAGTCACTGATAACTTGGTTGATAATACCCTCAGGGATACTGCCCATGGGCAATAGTCATTGAATAGAATAATTATAGCTATTACTGTAAATCCAGATATTAATGCATGCATTTATTATTGAAAAATCCTTGACCACTGCCAAAACTGTAAAATCTAATCAATGTGATTGCTAAAAGTAAAATTACTGCTGAAATTATGAATGCGAGTTTGTAATATTGGGAACTTGATACTGTTTTTTTTTTTCACATTGATAAAAAGATCGTAATAATTTCAGAATTTACAGGATGTTGAAAGCCAAATTTCACATGTAACTGCAACATCATTATTTTTTTATTTCATCTTCATTGTCTATGTGTTAAAATGTTTATAATGCAGTAATACTCAACTTTAAAACTTTGTTTATATTTTGTTTGTATTTGACTGTTTTATATACACATGTGTTCAAAAAATTAATTGAATAATATATGTTTTTTTGTTGTTGTGTAAATGATTTTGTTTACTTTTTACAAGAAATTGATAATATGTATTCTTTTTATACATGTTAACCATTTGTCTAATATTATACCTGATAAAATATACCTAAGTTAACATAAATATTGAAAAATCATATACTATACTAGGTATTGTGACTTTTGTATCAGGTAATAATATCAGACCTATGTGTACATGTATCCTGTTCCCAACAATAAACATGGTGTAAGTGACATTTCATGGAACATGCAGTGGTAAAACATTTTATAAACAAATTTTAAGCAAATATAATGATGAAACTAAGGTTCCATTAATCAAATATTTGTGGACTCATTCTTGGTTTCATTGATATTAATGCCACAGATAAAAGATTTACCATATGTATTTACAAATACACAGATATTTTTAGTTTAAACTTGATGGCTGAAAAATAAAAAAATATACAAGTTAATAAATGAATCTTGGATTTTTATACTTAAAACGAATTTAGTCTATTTTTGACAATGCCTGTTATCCATGTTTATGTATTATGAATTTTAATTGAAAAACTTATTGATCTCATGGTGTATTCATTATGTTAAATCGGTCTAGCTAGTTAGAAACCAGGTAAAAGATAATTCCTTTCCAAGTTGAATTCTTCAATGGTTGGCATGTTTCCATTAGAATACTATTGTTTGTAATGTTATAAGAAAATGTTCAAATGAATAGTGGTTATTGATATAAGATTTATCATATAATTTTATGATTTTCCTTTCAATATAACAGAAGGATAGAACGTCAGGTTATAATAGTTTTGTGTAAAGAATTTCTTAAATACTGGTTTTAGATCAGATTCCTTTTGTACCAAACTAAATTATGTTTTCTCACAGAGACATACCAATACTCTCTATATGTATTAGAATTTCAAGAAAAGAAAAGGATGATTAGTATGGTTTCCAAAGTAACTATTGACTTTTTTTTCACTTTTTAATCACAGAATAGTCACTTTTCTTCTCTTTACTCATCCGTAATGTTACTGTAGTAAGATGCTTTAAATTAAAAGATACAAGATTTTTTAGGTTTCTAGTCATTTTAATAAAATACTGTATATAATCCCATGTTATGCTTTAGGTAATAAAAATTGAAATAATACATTTACATGTTCAAACAGTTTACCTCTGTGTGTACCTTGTCATATAAAACAATGATATAAAGAACAGAGTCTTCTCAAACAGAAAATTTAAGTAATTTTGAAAATTTTCATCCAGTGTTACTTTAATTATATACACATGTGGTCTGGATTTTTCATTGATTGGCATTATTATTGTTATTGTTCATTTGATTTTGTTTAATTTTAATATACTTGTTGTTAAGTAATGCAACTATTAATTATGAAAATATAGACATTTTGTTGTTTGTTAATAATAAACTAATTTTTTTTTTTACTTTATCACTGAATATTGTAGAATAATTTATTGCCATTTCGATGCTGTTATATGCTGCAATACTCTTATAAGTGGTTAGTAGGTATTCCGCATATTAGATTAGAGTATTTATCAAATAAATATTATATTATTATACAAATAGGAAGAACATTCAAAACCATAACTAAATTCTTCTCAAGGAATGGCTGTAGATGTCTTTCAGATACTAATTAATTCATTTTGTGCTAGGTGTTCAATGATAAAGTTTCCAAAAAATATGTATAATTTGGAATATTTTCACAAAGTTGTCTTGAACAGAAACATCTTGGACTATATTGCATTTATGAATAATGGGTTTTAGTAAATATGATGAAAAAGTCTTTAAGTGTACTTGATTTTCAAATCTCACTAGGATTCATCAACTTTTGATATTTACTAAGCGAGTGAAACAAATACAAGGGGAAAATTCCTTCTTGTTTGTATTTAAAAGTCAAAGTTTTGATGAAACCAGTGTAACTTTCAATAATTATAAGTTTAGATTTATAAACGAAACAGTTAAGAAGGACATGAACTGAAAGTACATTGCTCATAAACAAATAAAACACTAAAATACATTATGACAACTATAATAGTATCTGGAAATATAGAGTAATGCAATTTTGATATCAAATCAGATTTTTTTCACCAAAAGCAAACACCAGTAGTGCTCAGTTATCGAAGTTATGCTGTCCTATATAACAGACAAACATCAATGAAAGCACATACATGTATTGCTTATAACACTTGTACAGAACACTAAAACAAATGACTAACAACAAACAATAATGAAAACACAAATTAACAACGAACAGCACTGAAATCATAAACAAGAATAAGAAATACCAAACAATGCTAAAAAACAAACAAGACTCAAACCTAAATCTTTCATGAATAATTTGAAAACAGGGAGTAAAATCGAATGTTCTAGAAAAATCATGGTTGCAAAAACTAAACATTGGTTTATATTAATGAATTGTTTGATTTTGATTTATATTTGGGAACAAATAATTTGTTTCGGAAGGGAGGTAAACAAAATTAGTTTGTTTCCATTGAACACTTAGAGAAAAAAAAGCTGTTTGTCCCGAGAGAAAAAAACCAAAGGAGGCCTGTCATAATTTTATTTGATGTGAGTTTGTCTCTTAAGATAACAAGATCTAAACTATTTTATCGTTTTACAGATGTATGTAAATAATAGAGAAGGAAATACTCGTCTCATTTCTGGTATCACTTACATTGGAACAATGCGCTTTTAATAAATTATCACCTATCTATCTTATAGATGGATAACATTTGCATAATGGCTGAGATAGCCTCTCGTTATGAAGAAGAATAGGGCAATGCTTGTCTATTTCCGTTATCAATGTCTTTTAACAATGAGCGTTTTAGAATTTAAAACTTGTCTAGCTTATGAATAACATTTGCACACAATGGCTGAGTTCGCCTCTTACTTATAAATATTTCTGCTTCAAATCATCAAAAATACCAATCTTATAAATAAGTTCACCTTACGCACGTTACAACAAAGAATTCACCAGATCACTCAAATCAAAACAGTTGGAAAAACAAACCTAGGTACTTGATAGTCAATGTATTCTGCATGAAATATCAGACTGATTCTGTCTATGATTTAGATCGACAATTCCCCTACTGCCTTCGTAACAGTACATGCATTAACTGTTGCTGTGCTTCAGCAGAGTAACGATCAGCTAGAGTATATACCATACCAGTTACTCAAAGCTAGTTATAGTGAAAAATACAGTTGCATAGACGTTTAATTACTATTTTTGAATTGCCATTCAACTGTTATGAATCGAGCACCACCGGTGAGTCTTGTGTAGACGAAAACCGCGTCTGGCGTACAAATTTATAATCTTGGTATCTTTGATAAGTTTTTACTTCCCAATACCCATCAGTAGAATACACTCATTTACATAACGCTCGTGTATGTACACACTATACGGACCTCATTAATATGGATGTGGTCCTTACACAAAAATTGCTCGGAGTTGTGAGGATGAACGATTGAAATCGTCACTACGTTAGTTATACTGTCACCATCACGGTAAAAAGAAAATAACACGTAATCAATTATGTGCGTCCGAAGCGTTTATCCAGAACTCCCTTCATCAGGAACGCCGAAAGCGTTATATTTGAAAACCGCATGAACAAATACCGAACCGCGCTAATTAAGAGCTTTACGTAATAGTTATACACTGAGGGATAGGTGTGTCTAGATAAGAAACCCCGACGGCCAGAGGCCGGAGGGATTTCTTATCCAGACACGCTGTATCCCGAAGTGTATAACTAATTAACTTACACCCGATGCTAAACCCTATATTTATTTACATTGAATATTAATTGAAAAAGAACGGATGGCATTTTTATTGACAATATCAAACCATGATTAATAAGAATTTTTTAAATGAAAACCCACTAGTAACCTTACTTTGACAATCTTCATTCAAACTTTTGACAAGTGAGTAGATTTTACAAATGTCAAAGTTGCCGTTTTGCATATTCCCGTTAAATCCATGTGCTTATATGGATCAGCAGGTCAAGGTTGGCCGTATCGTGCATTCTTATTACAAAAAAAAATACACCATGCTCCTTGTATTTGTCAATATTGACGGGTATAAGACGGACGACATTTTGAGTCAGGCCTTGGATTTGGCAGAAGAGACTGTAGATAATGCAATATTTATAACCCTAAGTACTTACATGTATCAGTTTAATGAAGGTTATCATAAATGTATTTTACATGTTACAGTTTTATCAAAAAAAGCCCCCCCCCCCTTCCCCCTTCTTCTCAACATTAAACAAACATTCATATTCGAACATACTAAGGGATAGGTGTGTCTGAATTAGAAACCCGACGACCGGACACGCTTAACCTACAAAAATACAGATTGCATATGTAGGAACCCTTCTTTTTTGGCGCAATCCAAGGGGGATGGGGTTCCGGGGGTTGGAACCCCCTTTTTACGATCAATGCTTTTGAATGGGGACATGGCTATTGGAATTTCCTGAAATATGTTTTTTTGATATGTCTTGAAACAACTTGTAGTGAACACTATTAGTAATCTCTTATGTTCGTGCTATTAAACAAAAACAATTTCTATTGTTATGAATAACAATGGACAGTGTTTTAGGGATGTAGAAGCAGGGGTTTCCAGAAACCCCGCTCGTTACACCCTTTTTTCAAAATCCATTGTTATTCGTAACAATAGATCTATTCAATTTACACTTGTTTCAGAAATAGAAACTATGAAGTATAACAATAGAACTGGGGTGTAAGACCAGAGGGACCTAAAAGTAATAGCCAAATCCGTCTATGGTCAACTTTACAAGAGGGAGTTGGAACCATAGTTTCTTTATAATTTCTGAAATTTACCAACGGATTATAAATCATGTCAGTACGGAAGCACCGATTACTGACAATTGGTTGACTAATACACGTATCTGTGTCTCAACTAACAAACGACATGTTTTCTCGGTCTTTACATTTTTATATTTTACATTTACCGATAGTGTCCTAGATTTTCTTCACCTTTTGTTTTGGTAAATCAAATAAAATGATTTGATTGTTTAAAATTGCCACAAAAACATATAAAATCAATTATCACAATCATACAACAAAAGCATTACGTTAATATGTATAACAAATATATATATTAATAGGATGTTGAAGAAGGGTGTTATTCTAGCCAAATTATGTTCAAAATGGGTACGATCACTATTATATTCCACATATCAAAACATATAACAGTAAATAGTCATTAACGTGTATAAAAATACGCTAATTTTTATTATCTGCTAAGCTATTTCTAAATATGTTGATATTTAAAATTGTCTTTAATATAACTCGGTAAATATGCAGACCATAAACGGAACGCATATCGGATCTGTAACCGGTATTGATATCCCAAACTACGATTTTCTTAAATGTAACCGATATAAACAATCCGGCATCATTATGAGAAGAAAGGTTGTTTTGGTTGTCCCAGTAGTTGTTATTGTTTTAAGCGTAATATTTGCAGAGTCATGGGTGCTTTCTCTTGAAAACACACTAAAAGGATTAATTCTGAAGATTCAATTTGTGATTTTCCTCGAAGGTGTCGTTTCACTAATGTCGATCTTTATATGGAAAAACCTGTCTTCTATATGTCATGATAAAGGTCATCAAGCTTCAACTCTCCGACTTTTGTGGAAATTAATACTGATACTTTATACAATGTTGGCACATGGAAGTTATGCATCAAACGTTTTTCTTAACAGAACAGAACCAACATTCCTAGGCACAATCAGTTACTTGTGTTTAGGGGCACATGTGCAGTTGTTTACATTCTTAGTTTTCGCTAAAACAGTTAACTTAATAATAAGACTTTGCAAAAAGAGACCTTTTAAAGATGATCATACAGCAATATTGACAATTGTGTATGGTTTGTTAATGACAAGTTACGGGTATTATAAAGTTTGTCAACCACCAATCGTTAAAAATGTTACTATTCCTTTAAAAAATTTGCCATCATCATTGAATGGCTTTACAATTTCATTACTCAGTGATATTCACATTGGACCAACTGTTGGAAAGAAACAACTAGAAATTGCAGTTAATATTACCAACAATCTTCAGTCAGGTAGTATAAAAAAATTGTTAAATTAAGTTTTTGCACCGTGATTTTCATTCAATTCAATCTGTCAATATCCACTTTAGAGGTCAGAACCGGAAAATATCTTTGCAGATGACAAGCAGTCAAGGCACATATCTATTGTCTTTACTAAAGAATTTCATCAAAAGTTTTCTATTTTCTATTTTCAGCAGTTTTATTTGTCAGATTTCCCCAGTAATAACCGGATTATGCTGAATCAGAGAACCCCTGTTCATTTTTTTTTTCAATATGATACTTGAAAGGTTAACTCTGGATATGGGCTTAAACGGAGTGAAATAACATAAAACTGTTTTATTTAACAGCAGTTCTAT